ATTGCTATTGATTTTGCAACTATATACATGTATTCTTATAGAAGGATATACATTCATACAGAAATATTGTAATATACTTATTGAAAATAGTGATACTTAACTTTTATCATTATAGCTTGATTTGCAAAGGATTAAAAATTTAGCACTTCTTAATAAACAAACAAAAAAACTTGGAACTATTAATAAATTCAAGAACTAAAGAGAAGAATTTAAAATTTTGCATTTCTTAAATATTAGAAATAAGCTAAACAAAACTTTCAAAACTTGTAACTACTAACAAACTCTAAGTCAGGAATGACTTGATGTTCGTCAGTAATGTAATATGCCAAACAAAATGATGCTTGGAAATGTTGAAAATTTTGTTTAGTATCCTAATATTTTACTTCAAATAGTATGATTTGATATAATCATGTTGGGAAAATGCAAAAATCTGTTTTTAAATATCTTTTAGCAACTTTTTTTCTAATTTTATTGCCCAAAAATGAATTAATTTTAAATCATAAGCAGTTAAACTCAAATTAAAATACCGTTTTCTCAAAACTATGGGTTTTTTGACAGTTTTGACAGCGGGGTTTTTGACATGACGGTAAAAACCATGGTATAAACCGGTAAAAACCGTCATGTGTCAAAAACTTGCCAACCCTGTTAATAATATAAAGAGTTTGTTCTTGATTACCACATATTATTTTAAGTCTGTGAGACAAGGAAACTAGTGGCATATATAGTCTGCCGATATAACATATATATGAAAAATATTGTAGTTCATGATATAGTCCTTACTATATTAATGGAAGCCGCTGTCATTGATTATTCTTAAACCTATGTTGCTTGTCCAAAAGATTGTTCTTGAACTATCCTAATCGAATATATCTTGGAAATTAAATTCTATGTAAAAATGCTGCTTTACTAAATGCCAATTTTAATCACTTTTTTTTAAAATATTACTTTCTGTTTTAAAAGATCTAGGTATAAATCTATTTTAAGAAAGTTAGCAAATCAATAAAAGTTGCATGTGTGTTGATATGCATTTAAAAAAAAATTTATATTTATATTAGTAACAAAATCTCTAATTTTTACTTTTTTCTTTTTAGAAAACTGATTTGCAAAAATGCCTATACTGCGACTCACTGATAATTACTGCCCATAAGTCTTTTTATCAACACATGAAAGCTTACCATCCTGATAAAGTAGAAGATCATAAAAGTAAGATTTTTTTATGTAGATACTTATTTTTTTAAATGTAAAATGTTATAATTTGGTAAAATACAATTAAAATTTGTGTTCTTTTTTTATTTATTTCTTGTGTTTTTTTAGACCAAGATACAGTATATGATCCTGATGAAGACCCTTCATCATCCTTTGTAACTACTGATGATGATGCTAGCTTAGTAATGCATGTGGAAGAAGTCACTGAATCACCTGTAAAATACCAGAGAACAAGAAAAGCATCATTAAAAGAAAATAATCAGACTGTGTGGAAACACAAAATGAAATCTATTAATGAGGCTGCCATTAAAAACATCGATCAGTTTCAAAAATGTGTTAGGTTTAATTCAATTGTTGATAAAATAAATTCAGTTGATGAAGTTGTTCATACAATTGAGGAATTACAAGAAGCTACTACCATCAGATCTCAAAGAACCCCTAAAAAAAGTAAAAATATAGTTCCACAAAATGTTATTGAAAATGAGTTATATTTTGAAGACCCAGACGACTCTGTTGATGAACCATCAATCGACTCTGAAGTTGTTCAAAGAACTCCGAAAACTGGAACTAAATCTGTGTTTGTTTTAGACAATGAGTATTACAAAAGATACCATGAAAATTTAACAATGACAAGGGATTGGTCATCCGCTCGCAAAACCTACACCCGTTCTCGCAATTCTAACAGTATGGGGGAGTCAAAATTTTGTTCACAAATGTTAAATGATTCTAGTCAAGATGGACAAACCATGAATGAGTTTTCCGATTCTACAGGATTTCAGCAAGTGTTAGAACTTCAGCATTCAGATCACTCAACTTCAAATCCTTCACTCAGTTCGGACGATAGGCTCCAACTCACAGAAAATTTAGCGCCTAAAGATTTGATATTGCCATTAGATCCAAAAAATGTTGATTACAATTTAGAGATAATTGCTACTGAAGAAGCGTGTATCGATTTAATTATGAATCCTGATGATGCCAAATCTGTTAAAAGTTATAAAGAAAATAATGAAAGCGAGTCTAAATCAATACTAAATCAGAGAAAGTTTATAAATCCAGTAAAATCATTAAGTTTTGAAGATGCAGACTTCAAAGAAGACTTCAATCAAATCAATACATTTCGTAAAAAGAGTCTAGAGTTACGTCCCATTATTACCTATGGTGAGCGAGTTGTTGAAGAACAAGTTGTTACTCCCAGAAATACTACAGTAGACTTCAATGATTTATTGAAAAATGTGAAGACTTCAAGAACTGAAAATGATAGCTTAAATTTAGTAACAAGTAATAAATATTCTGGGAGATTTTTAAAACCTGTTGGTAATTTTCAGAGAAATAAAGCAAAAATTAGTGCTAAAGGGTTAAGTTACTACCGTACTAAACATTCCAAGACTAAACATTTCAACAAATCTAAGTTAAATGTCCTTACTCTCTTTTCTTGCAAAGCAGCAAAAAAGAGAAGGTTGAATAAAAACAATACAAAATTTTCGAAATTTTATCGGCAATCTAAATATGCCTGTGCTGAAAGTGCACAAATATCTTGTTCAGAAACTAAACAGGCAAACAAAATGGTGAAACATGACACAATAGGAAAGTCTTTTAAAAGAACTAAACAGATGAATTTGCATAACACAAATAAAACTCATAAATTTCCTTTGAAGAAAGCAATCACTGAAAAGAAAGTTAATTCAAATTCTACAAGAACTGAATCTATTCCAAACTACTCTGCCACAGCAAAGTATAAGAGTTTTTCGGAAGTTAGTGACTTTCTTTATGAGCAGTCTGCAGCATCTTATAATAAAGTAATATCTAATGTCATTTTAGATTGTGAAACTACTTTGATTGATTATCAAGAAATGGGTGAATTGTGTGCACCGGAAATTTCTGAAAATTTGAATTATGCTGAAAGTAATGTTACTTCTGAAACTGTAATAGAAGCTTCAAAAAATTTGAATTCTGAGGAAAATACTGTTTCTTCTGAAATTACACCAAAGACTACTGAAAACTTAAATTATGTTGAAAGTTTCAATACTTCTGAAGCAAGGGGTAGTAACAAATTTTGTAACTCACATAGTAGTATTTCGCATGAACAGACTGAAACTGTAAGTCAAGTGCAAAATGTAACTGACCAAGCTAATATTTGTAAAGAAATAATTAAAGAAGTGCAAATTATTTCAGGTACAAAAACAAATGTTGAGGCATTTGATCAAGATAAAATTAAAAAAAGTGACTTAGGTTGCACACAAGAAAATAATTCTTCTGTAGAAAGTAAAACATTAAATGATTCTTTAAATTTGCCTGAATCAAATAATGCTGAAAAAACTAATTTTCATGAACCTGGAGCATGCCAAAATATTTCAGATAGCTCTTTAAACAAGAATAAAACAGACAATATAGACGCTGATCATATCATTTGTAAGGATAGTCCTACAAAAGCAAAAGAAGTGATGTTTCAACAAACCAATAATGCTGAAAAATCTGTGGAAATCATTAATCATTCCACCGGTCAAGACAAGGATTGTGACACAGTTGTATCTAGTATGTTGGTGGATACGTGCAGTGATTCTGAGAAAGTAGCTTTGTCATCTGAAAAAAATTCTTTAGTCATTGAAAAAGATGAAAATAGTTCTAAGACATCAGGGAATTACAGTATAGGAGATATTTCAGAAACTACTCTGTTATCAAATAATAAAGTTAATGCTGAAGTTGAAGATACTTTAAAAAATTCTGTTTGCTTAGATCAAATGAAGTTATCAACTGATAAATCAATGCCACACTCATCAAATGTTGATTTTTTGGAAAAAGCTCTTCATAACCAACCTGGTACTGAAACTCAAATTTCCACCACTCTTAATGTTAATTCTGAAAGTACTTCTTTTGTCTTATCAACTGTTACTGATGAGAGAAATAAAGGAAATGAAATAAAACACAATGAAAAACTTAATGAAAATAATAAAGTATGCCTTGTAATGGATCGCCAACCCTCAATATCATGTTTATCAATTCAGTCTGACAATACTTCAGCTGAGATTAATGTGAAAGCATCTGTAACTAATAGTGTTGAAATTCTATGTAGTAATGTTTCAAACTCTGGTGAATCAGTCATAGAAAAGGTTGGCGAGAATTGTTCTGATAAATCAAATTCAAAGAATGTAGTATCAATGAAAGAAGTCATGAATGTGGAAACTAGCTTATCACCCATAGATAAAAAAGGTAAAGATGAAGAAAGTGTAGAAAAAAAAGTCACTCACAAGGGTGATGAGATTATCACGAATTTAAATTCATCCCAAACTAAGTTGGAAGACACTGCATTAGCTGAACATTCGCTCTCTGCTTCCACCAGCAATTTATCTTTAACAAATGATAGGATCAGTGTGGAATTAAACACATCACAAACAGTTAGAAAAAGGGGCAGGCCTAGAAAGGAAAAGAAGAAAGACATTTGTGAAGGGGACAGGACTGAAAAGAATGAAATAGAGGCAGGTATATGCCAAAAAACTGAAGCTGTTAAAAACTTAAATTTGTCAATTGAATTAAGAGAGGGTGAGTTAACTGAACATTTGCCTTCCACATTAGTTTGTTATTCATCTTTAACAGGGGAAGTTATAAATGGGGAAATTAGTACACCACAAATAGTTAAAAAAAGAGGAAGACGTAAAAAAGAATTGGCTAATAATGTAACTAATACTGAGGCTTTAGGTTCTGATGACATTGCTTCAGTAAAAGTTAGTACATTTTTAAGTCCAACTGATTCCGCTGTTACCACCTCTTCCAGAAAATCTGCCAGAATAAGATCCAGAAAAGAGTCCATGAAGCAATTAGATGCTGACAATGATATTTTAAATACAGAAAAATTAGAGCTTATTCGAAGTAAGGAAGTTAACTCTGATTTGAAGAGCATGGATAGGGAAGTGGAACATGAAATCAAAGAAAACTTTATCAATCAAGATAATCTTGACGAAAATGTGGAAGCTGATTTGGTATCAGAACATAAAGTAAAAAATTCTTCTGTTATGCTGTCTCCAAATCTCCATAGGGATAGTGGTCTAAGTGAAAAGTCATTCACATCTGAGTTAGATTCTTCACTAAGCTTGCCTGCAAAAGCAAAAAAGCGTGGTAGACCTAGGAAATATCCAAGTCCTACTTTTGACATAGTGAGTGGAAAAACTGGTTTGTCTCTGAATTCTAATGCTATTAAGCATCCAGAAACCAGTTTTAAACTTTCTGGTGGGGAAGTCTGCAGTAAAGGAAATATAGTTGAAAGCTTAAAAGAAGCTAATTCAAGCTTTACTGAAGAGTCTAATTCCGTTTTTGAAGAAAATGCTCTTGTAGCTAAGAAAGCTGGTGTAAAAATACTAGATCGGAGTGGAACACCCAAAAAAAAGAGAGGAAGACCCAGGAAATACCCATTGAAAGAACAGAGTAATGAGCTATTAAATAGTGTACCCAGTGATATAAATGAAAGTAATTCCCATTTTATACCATCAAAGCGCAGAGGAAGAAAGAAACAAAAACTTGACTCTCATGTTTTATCATTTAACAATGCAGGTGTATCTGAAAGAAATGACTACTCTCTTTTGGCTAATGTTACTCAACTTCATGATCCAAATTTTCGTAAAAGTCCACGAAAAGGTCAGCCTAAAAAATGTGCAAGATATGCATACATAAATTCGACTGTTGAAAACTGTGATCAACTTATTGAAGATAGTGATTTTGAAGAAAAAACTGTGCTTCTCCCAAAATCAGGGAAAAGGAAGGGTATTAAAAGGAAACGTGAATCTGATTTTTCTCCAGAGCAAACTCCATCTGAAACTTCAAGTGTAGAAGACATGTTTATCTCTGGTGCTTCAAATGTACTGATGGAAGGGGTCACCTTACCTCCCAAACAAACAAGGATATCAGATACAAGCTATTCTGGAAAACCCAACAGACGAAATTTCCATGATAAATCTATGAATAGATTGTATAACAAAGTTTTGAAGGTAAATTATGTTTTAGGAAATTTATCTTTAGTTTTTAAATAATGTAAAACTATTATTAATTTTAATAATCTGATTATTATTCTCTTAGTAAGAAGGAAATTGCTTATTTCAGAAAAAATTAAATTTTTATTATTATTTGACGAGTAGAGGCGCAGGAATAATATCTCGTTTATCTTTCTAATGTTCCATAATTGTTTCAGAATTTGCTGCTTCTCAAGAAATAGTATTAAAAAACCTTTTTAAGATAAAAAATCTTTTTAAGTGTGATCTGCAATTGACAGTTTTTAACAGGGAATCAGTTTAAAACTAGAAATTTCTACATACTGTAACTTTGCTTCTCCTTCTTTTTAGTACGATTGCCGGAAAATAAATGTAATATTTTCTCAGGCATCACTTTTCTGCATTAATTTTTTTTTATAGGTACTGATAATTAAAACAAATCGATCAAACTATAGGTCATATTGCAAACAGTGACACTATCAGGGTTATAATTTTTTTAAACGAAAATATTCAAAGTTTCAGGTTTAAAGAAACTGTTAAAAAATATACACTATGTAAATATATACCAATAAATATTATACATCGTGGCAACTGGTTTTTCGATTTCTAGTATAAATGATAATTTAAGCCACGAAATAAGATGAAAATACATTCTTGCTAAGCAAAAAAATTTTTTACTGATTTGTTTTCTTGTCCCTCAAATTATGTAAGCATTTCTGATCTGAGAAGTATGGTACAATAATTTAGTTTAAGTTATAGGGTGCGAAGCATTTTTTTAAAAGTTGCTAAATTTTGATTTTATTCTTTTTTTTTAAATCCCTTAAAAGTGCTTTTTCAATGGTTCTTTTTTAAAAAATGCTTAATTTTCTTCTTTCCAAAATAAGGTTTTTGTTTCTTTGCAAAGTCGAATCTTTTCATAAATTACATAAAAAGCTTGTTTTCACAATGTTCTGTTCACCGTTTTTACAATTCATTAAACCACAATCTGTTTTTGACTACCATCTTCCTTATTCTGTGAAAGCGCCAATCATTTTACATGCTGCATGAATCATTCACGGGTCTGCACGTGTATGCATTGAGTTACCTTCAATGGGAAGGATTCTTTCAATCATGTATAACTCACATACAGTGCTTCATCTCCCTCCCTCTGAAATCAAACCACATGTCTCTCATGTTATTTCTGATCATGGAGACCAACTAAACATAACTGATTTTTTTTCTTCCTGAACAGCAAATTACCCTATTGAAGCGAAGCACCGTAGACCAATGACATTCTTGCACTGTTCAATTTATTGATCAGTATGTATCCCAATCTTGACTTGGGGATCATTCTGTAATTAAGTATTTTCATGTGGGTCAGAGCTTCAGCACTTCTAAATTTTCGTCTCCCCTTTTATTCATTTTATTTTATAAGAGTAAGAATTGATTGAGAATTTTTAATCATGGGACTTTGTTCCTGAGCGATTTACTAATTGCCTAAAATGATTTAGGTTTTTATTGTAGTCTTATTTTATTGCACTTGCTAATTAAATAATTCAGTATTCTTGAGCTATTTCATGAAAAAAATAAAACAATTATTTTTAGAAGCAAGATTTTTTTTAAGATATATGAATTGAGAGAGTTTTTACTATTTTACGATTACCAGATGCAGTTAGAAGGCTTATGTGATTTAGATTTGTTATTTAGAAATAATATAATTTATATCTTTATCATTTCATTTAAAAATAATGGAAATTAAAAATTAAATTATCTTAGATTGGTTAAATATGATGAATATTTGGACTCTTAAGTTATAATGAACTTCTGACCAAAAATGTTTAGCTTTCACTGTAAAAATGTTCACTTTATTTTTATTTCGAAATTTTTTAAAACATTTCAAAGTTTGTTAATCGTTCTAACTTGCAAATTATTATAAAATTTTAATGGTTGACCATTCATTTATTTACATTTGTACTATGCATTTATTAAGATTTTCTTATTTTTCATAATTCTCTACTTATCTTTATCAATTTAGTATGTTCAGTGACATTAATCTTTATTTAAATTTAAAAAGTATTCCAAATAACTTTTTTTCGGTTTAACTACTTATAATTTTGAATTTAATTATTTTAACATAATTGCATCAAGTAATTATTCATTTAAAATTGTGCATAAATTATTTTTTATGGAGGCAAAATAAATTTAAAAAAGTTCTTTACCAGCATTTGCATTTTGTTTATTTTATGTCCCTTAAGAATGTGGGACACTAAAAAATTTTTTTATTTACTTCATCTGTCATACTTATGACCATTTAAAAAAAAAAAAAAAATTAAATATGTTTTTGTGCTTAAAAGGTACTTATTTTTTGGTGAAAATTTTGACTATGATTAGAAAAATTCAGCTTAGAAAAAGTATGCTTAGTAAAAGTATGCTTAGTAAAAGTATGCTTAGTAAAAGTCAGCTCATTAACTTTAATTTACTTAGTTTTACTTGCACAAATCAAGCGAGTTAGGTATTTTTGTATGGTACTTGAACATAAATTCCAAGGAAAAAAAACTTTTTAATAGTTGTTTATTATTTGTTTTATTAATTTAACTTTGTTTTTAAAAAAATTCTTTTAGATTTTGGGATTTAAATCACATAATTAACCATGATGTAAACATACTGTGCCCTTCAAAAATGCTTTTGAAGTAAGCAGTGTCTGAACAATAGAATTTTTTATTGAATGAAACATTTTCTCACCTACCAAAATTTAACGCTTGTTTTTTTCATTCCTTAGTTTTCTTTATGTTTGCTTTTTTGTTTACTTGTAAACATTTACTTTTTTTATCCTTTAATTTTAGTAAAAATTAACATGCGTTTGTAAATATTTATTTAACTCAACTTTTATTTCTGAAATATTTTTATATCTTAGGTTGGAACAGATTCTTCCTTTGAAATTGCACCTGATTCAGAAGATGATTTTTCCATGACATCTGTTTCAAAGTATGTTTTTTCCTACTTGATTTATTAGTTTCTAAGTACATGGTTAATAGATTGATAGTAATTGGCATATAGTTTTTTCTCTGTTTAGATTATGTAATTAAGATTCTTTTTAGATTATGTAATCATAATATTTTGGATCATAATATTTTGACACATTTGCACCTTGAAACTGCCATTTTGACATTGAATTAGTATTAGCTTAAAAAAATTCTTCAAGTGAATTTGAAATGAAAGAAATTTATTTCTCTGATTATATCATTATAAAGCATATTTTTATGTTGTTTGCATATTTTTAAGTGTTTAAACAATACAATGTATGGTTCCATTAATTTATAAATAATGAAGGATTTGATCAGGAACACTCTTAACTTTTTGAAAGCTATGGCTTTTTTCATTTATGAAATTGCACAAAATGCTAACATGAAGGCTCACCAGACAAAGATAAAGATAAATCATGAACAGTTGTTACAAACATGCAACAGTTATAAAAAATAGCATGTTATTTTATAAAAAGCTTTATTTCATTTGATAAAAATCCTTCGAAGAACAATTAAATTTTCCTGAAAGTCGGCGTCTTACATGTGTCATTGTGCCTTTTAAGTCTAAATCAAGTTAGTAGAAAATGCAACCCATTATTTATTTTTATATGATTTTAATTAAAGTAATTTTTTTTTATTTTTATGAAATATCAATCTAAAACTCATTTCATTTTGTTAGCTTCATTCAAAAACAAGAGAAACTTTTTCTACGGTTCAAACCGAAGAAATGTTTATGGAAGGCATTATCAGAAAGGTAATTTATTTTAAATCTATTAAGTTTGATTTGCAGTTAATTCAATCTTTGCATCATACCATTGTTAAAAATGTTGATAACTTTTATAAATTTTCCTCTTCCTCTCAAATATTTACTGTTTCTCTACTTTAATAAATATTTATATTTGTATGGTTTTGATTACTTTTTCTGCAGCCATTTTGTTTAAAGAATGTTGAGAATTATATATCACTGGCGACTAATGCTTATAGTTAATAATGTCCTTCAAATCAGTGGTCCCTAACCTCCAGTTCATGGAACAAATGGTACCAGGCCATCAAAGGAACATAAATATTTTATTTACTGTGGTGTATTTTTCTTGAATTGGTGCGATTTTCTTAGGATGAGAGGTTAATTGGAAGTTGAGAGACTTTGCCTAAAGCCGCACCAATACTGCACATGCAGCTGCTGCATTTCTTTGGAAGACATGTTTACATAAAATAAAATTAAAATTAATAAATCATAAGTGTTTAAAATGTAAAAACTATCAACATCTGCTTCCTTCTCAATGGACCGCAGTTAAATGATCAATCGTTGACCAGTTTGTGGTGGTAAAGAGGTTGGGGAGAGAGAATGATTATAAAGATTTCTACATTCAAACCCGTTTGAACATATGTCTAATCACTGTTTTTTAAGTATTAATACTCCATAGTTTTGTGAGAATTGGGTTTTAAAAAAACTAGTCTGCAGTATTTAAGAGCTAATATTTTAATTAATGGAGAGAAACAAAGATTATCTAAATAATACAAATTTCATTGAAAGTATTTATTCTTGATATTGTGTATCATTGTTTTTAATGCACAATACATATTTCTGACATGATAAAATTATGATTGTTAAAAGTTTAACCTAAAATACTCATTGTTCATATTTACATAGTTCTTTAAACTATCATAGTATGAAATTTTTATAATATGTAGAAAAGTTTCTTTGTGTTTTTCTCTTATCATTCGAGAGTCATTTGTGTCAGTGCCCTAAGACTTAGACGGCTGGTGCGCAATTTCAGCACCCTATTCTTTAATTACCATGTTTTGAGCATGTTGTTGGAAAAACATGCAGCTAATCATTTAGGTAACATTCCTAAAGCTAAACCAATGTGACACAAGGTTGTCACATAGGTTTAACATTAGAAATTCTTATTAATTAAACTGAATTTTTTTTGTAATTATTCTAAAGATAAAAATGAAGCAGTTCAACAACAGCCTGTTGTGATCCATGGGTGTCAAGGCACCACAATTTCGTGACCAATGGCATGATTGTAGCAATGTGGTCAACATTGCTCAAAGGCTGTCTTTATTTCCCAAACAAGCTTATTCCTATTGATCTGAAGTTGGTATTTTAAGAACAACATCAGTGATGTTTGTTAGCATATAGCTCTATTAAATCAAAAATGGAGTTTATTGCTCATTCTTCTATAATTATTTATATTTGATTCATTATCCCAGGTAATCTCAAGCAAAGTAAACCTGGGATGTTTTAACCGAATAAGTACTTTAAAAGTAAACTATTTAAAAACACCTGATTATTTTCTTTAGAGTAACAATTTTTGACTTTGTTTCTATGAAGCTAAGTAATAAACAATCAACGATAATTAAAATAAAGAAGTTACTTACTGAAGAACAAATTGCTTAATTGTGGTAAATCTAGACTATGATATGTTGGCTGCTGTCAATAACATCATTTTCGATGCTAAATAATACTAAGTATAGTTAATCTTTATTGCAATAAGTACTTCTAAAATGTGTTTTTCTAAATCTAATGATCTGGGACCACTGAAGGGGTAAAAAATAATTATAAAAAGAAACTGAAATTTAGATATTCAAGAAAAATTTTTAACAAATCTTTTAATGTTATTTCTTTGTCTAAATTCTCTTTCATAATTCATTATTCAGAACTAGATGTATTTCCATGATTGTAATTAGCATTTCAGTTCTAATTTTAGATTAAAGACTGCAATAATTCTAATAAGTTTTTCTCTTCGAGAAAAATTAAATCCTTTCAGATACTTCTCATATAAGAATCTAGCATATGTAATTGTTATATCTTTCCTTGTGAAGGGGATTGCTAATAAGATTTTTTCCTTTTCAAGTTCCCAATATTTAAGATGAAGCACAGTAATATTAGTGTGATTTTCATTCTTGCTCTCTTTACTTTAAATATAAAATAAAAACAGTTTTGCCTTTTCACCTACATACTTGCATTGCTCCTTAGTTCAACCACACATTGCCTTGCCACCCATTCCCTTGCTCTGCTACGTAACAGCATTTTATTTTATAACCATCGTTGAACAGCCGACACTACTAAAAGAAAACAAAAAAAAAAATAAAATTAAATCTAAATTATTAAAACTTCGATGCAAAAAACCGCTTAAAAGCAGCAGAAATTTCACAAAAAGGATAAATGTAGCAATAAAAGAAAAGAAGGAAATAAAAATATGACCACCGAAGCCGACGTCTTCAGGGGGTACCGGCACCGGTAGCCATAAAACAAAACCTTTTCTATTGAGGGGGAGGCAAATGCCTTAAGTAACACCCTCAGTACCCCGAAGGTTTTGTATAGAAGTCCAGAAAAAAACATGAAATACAAAGAACCAATTTAGAAAAGAAACTCAAACAAATTCATCAGAAAATAAAAACTCAAAACTCATTTTAACCAGGTCAAACATCGATTTCATAAGCACACTGAATGAAAAGGAAACGCTAAAACTAAAGAAAACATCGCCCTCTATAACATTGCGCAGATTGAGAAAAAAGAATTCAAGGAAGAGATACGTAACAAATTAATAGAATACTCAATTCATTCTATTAATTTGTGAGCATTTTGGGTTTTTATTAATTTTGAGTTTTTATTTTCTGATGAATTTGTTTGAGTTTCTTTTCTAAATTGGTTCTTTGTATTTCATGTTTTTTTCCTGGACTTCTATACAAAACCTTCGGGGTACTGAGGGTGTTACTTTAGGCATTTGTCTCCCCCTCAATAGAAAAGGTTTTGTTTTATGGCTACCGGGTCCTGTACCCCCTGAAGACGTCGGCTTTGGTGGTCATATTTTTATTTTTATTTCCTTCGTTTCCTTTATTGCTGCAGTTGAACAGCCGACCCAATTTTTATGACTTTACAGCTACTAATGTTCATCTCCATAGCCTTGCAATTTTGAACCCAATCCAGAAGACAAGGGAACTTTTGGATCGAGTTTTGGGAGAAATTTGCCTTCGCGGAGGACTTTTTTATGGAGCTAACCCGCATTTGCGTTACATTGAGAGGAAGACCACAAGAACCTCCCACGGTTGGCCTGACGGCAAAGGGACTCTAACCCATGATCCGTCCATCTACCACTGAGGATATTTCACGTCAGCTTTGTGGTAGGTGCAAGCCGGATGCAGAATTCGTATCGGCTGGGATTCGAATCTGGTTCGCCTCATTGGAAGGCGAACGCTCTATCCCCTGAGCCATCGCTGCTCATATAACAGCAATTGTCTAAAAAGTCTGTTCATGCTTCTCTTTTTTATATTTTTATTTGATTTGATGAATAATTTTCAAAAAATTTTCAGTGAACAAGTGCAATATTATCCACCTTTGGTAAAATCAATGCCTTTGAGACCTAAATCAAATCAAAATAATGTGGAATTAGCCTGTTTTGAGAGTGTTACTTTAAGTGGTAAGTACGGCTTTTGACATCAAATTAATAAATTATATATTGGCAGAAAATTATATAAATTATTTTTTTTTATTGTTTTTAGTATCTTATAAGTTTTTGTGTTTTTAAAAATATGCAAGAGAACATTAACGTAATTGAAAATAAATGCAGACTTTCTAATTGAATATTTAAGGATTGTTTTACGAGAAAGCAAGAGATGGATAGTTTCTTTATATATAATTTACTTCAAGTGACTTTTAATAACCAAACAAAAAAATTACATTTTCTCAAATTTTTTCAGATGTATTCTCATTTTTGGCCTTCGTTACCTGCACATAATGTGATGTCAGCTTTGCAAATTCTCATAAGATAACAGTTTGATTTGTTTAAAACTAATCTAGATAAAATTTTGTTTTTTGAAGTCTAGTATGATTTTAGTTCATCCTTATTTTTATTGTTAATTCAAAATTAAGTTGTATCTTAGCTTAGTCATAAAAGTTAAGCAGTGTTCAATAATTTTATCTTTTATTGTATTTATCGATCCTTCCGACACTCATTTATCCAGGGTTCAAGCAAGTTAAAGGCAAAAAAAGGGAAAAACTGTTTAGGCTTTCCCTTTTGATTCTCTTTAAGTTGACGATTTTGTTTTTGAAAAGCTTAAAAAAATGGAAAATTCTTACCACATACCTCTAAAATGACTAATAATAAAGTGGTCAGTATCTGTAATCATTTATTGAGATTTAACTTTTATTATCTTCTGTCATCTATTAGAAATATTGCTAGTAAAAATTCCTGTTATAGTAGAATTTTTACCTAGTATCTTCTGTTCTTAGGAAATTCTATTTCTGAAATTTATTGGGAATCCTGTTTATATAAATTTTTATCATTCTGAGTTTTTACTGCGCATGAAACAATTGCAGCAATTGTTTTGCATTTTCAGCGATTTTGGTCTTTTTATTTTTAGATTAAAAGAAGTTTGAAAGGAACTAAATTACTGAACATAATTATTTTGTACAAATCAACATTTCTGGGTTTAGGTATATATTTCAATTTAAGAATTTGATTTGAGTGTAGAATTATGTTCAGGCAAGAAATAGAGGTAGAAATTAATTTAAAATTTTAATAAACAGGAGTGTTCATGTCTTTCGAAAACTGATAGAAATTACTAAAAAGGGCTAAAACTGATAGAAATTGCTAAAAAGAGCAGGGCTCAAATTTCTCATTTGTAAACAGGGGTCTGTCCAGACATTTTGTGAAAGGTCCTGTTTTTGTAAAATTGTAAAAATATTACTCGTAATTTGTGAATATAAAATAAACGATAAGTCAGATTCTTTCAACCAGGGTCCTGTTTTTGTGAATTTGTGCAAATAGGGTCTGGTTGTTGCAAAAACCTTTACAAGGAGTTTTTAAATTGTAAATAGATACAAGACTGTAAAATTATAATTCAAAAAAATTAAATTTTCAAAAATTAACAGCAATTGCTGCTACTAAACTAGAGATGCAGCATACAAATATTTGGTTTTTATCCTATACTGCTGAACGCAGAATACTCATTTCGGACGAGTAATGGAAACAAAATCACTCACATTTTTAGTAATTTCAATTGACATATTTTAAATAACACAACTTAGTCACTTCTAATGTGTTACACATTAAGTAAACTTAAACATTTCTTAACTTTATAATATTTTTTTTTTAAAAATTGACAGAGGTTAATTTTTATTTACATAATATTTTAGCAATTAATTTTATGAATAAATATATATTGCTTAATTCTTTATTTACAAAAAAAATTATTTAATATCAATAAGAATGTACACGCATTGTTTGCAGAAGTAGAAATATTTTCTTAGAATACTACATTTGGAATTTTAAAAAAATTTTTGACTTCGAAGAGGTTTGGGTACATAATATAAATGAAATGAGATCAAACTTAGCCTTAGAATTAAAGCAAGAAAACATAATTAAAAAAATATTAGAGCAATATACGTCGATTGCCAGTAGATTTGAAAATATCTACAATAGCTGAACACTCGGCATCAGTTAAATTTTCTGACCATTTACAATAATGTGTAAATGTCTATCGAGTGTCTCTTGTTTCATCCTCGTTCGCAACTCAGTGCAAACAAGATTTATTTTCGAAAATGACCTTTCAGCAGTAGCTGTTGACGATGGTATAATAACCGACAATGTTAATAGTTTTAATAAATTAGAATTTTAATAACTTAGTTCATTTACATTCGTCATTCTTTTTTTTTCCCCTGGGGAGGGTTTATTCGATTAACAAAACAATGAAGATAAACAAGTTTGTGAAGGATCCGATTAAAAGATAAATTGCTTTGTGAAGGGTTCGTTTTGATGAAAAGATATTTTGTGGAGGGTCTGTTAACAGACCCAAATTTCTTCTAAACAGACCCCTTGCAAAAACCTTTAAAATGGAGCAAAAGGGCTCAGAGAAGACCAGGGTCTGGAGTACCTCTTATTTTCTCAGCAAATCATGAATGTAGAATATCATGCTTAACATAAAAAAAATATTGATTAGAGTTCTGAATAATTAGTTAAAGTTCTTTTCCACATTCCTACAATGGAAACGTTTTACCCAGATGACTTTTCGATACAACAACACAATGTTAGTCTTCACACTTCAAGGCAATCCACAAAATGGCTGGATGATATTGTAATAAATATTTAATGTGCCCTGCATCATTCCCTGATTTCAGTTTCATAGAGAATCTGTAGGGAATAATGAAAAATAACTTTAAAAAAGCAGGAAACAAAATTGTTAAAGAATGGAAGGAAGATTTTTTTAAAAAAATATAGGACAAAACATATATCGGCAATCAAGTCTCTCTTTGAATCTGTGCCCTGATGGTTTCGAAGGTTTATTGATGCTAAAGGAGAAGGAATTAACCACTGATTTATCTGTATAATATTTTATAAGTTAATATTTACATGGGGAGTTTTGTATGTTGGGTTCAAAGTATATGAGGCATTTTACAATGCATTTTTATTTCTGATTTCTTTTTTTTATTATTTATTTTTTTAAAATTTTTTTTATATATTTAAATAAAGTACTTTTTGCAAGTCTCAATTCTTTTGCTTTGTACTGTACAAAAAGTAGCTTAGTATGTGACTATTTTACACACATATGCATTAAGTTTTTATTTTATTACTAAATACTGTAGCTTACTCTATTTTATTTATAATTAAATACTTCAGTCAACTCTCACTAAATGGAAAAATATTTTCGTAGACAAAAGAGATTTTGCATTTTTTACTGGCGGTCCCATTTGGAGTTCTGCTTGGTGTCCAACTCCCGTTGACAAGAAAGTTCATCAATATTTAGCTCTTGCCACCAGTGGAAGTTTAGCGAATTATTATTCCTTTACTGCAAATAATGAGGGGAAAAGTTTAATTCAGCTGTGGAATATGGGTTTTCTTCAAACTTTTGAGTAAGTAGAAATTAACTTTTGAGTAAGTAGAAATTATTTTTATAATTTCATTAGGATCATAAGGTTTTAGAATTGAGATTTATATAATTTACTTAAAGGTGATTCATATTTAGTAAAAAGTCCCTTGTTCCTGTTTTTATTGATTTATTTCATTTTATGTCTTTCTCTGTAGGGTTGCACAAGAAGCATCTAGGGAAAAAAATTGGCTTTGGGACCAAATAATTCAGGAAGAACTTTAATTTTTATTTCAATTGATAGTAACTTAAATATTCTTTAATGTTAATAAGAACAATTTCAGTTTTTCTTAAATTTTTAAGACAAATTACAGCATACTTTTTCATGACTTGTAGTTATTTAAAAAAAGAATTTAACATAGTTTTCGTTTGGGGGCAATTTAAGTGACATTGAGCATAGCTGACTCTGATGAAAATCTTCAGCTTTTTCTCTTACTCAACTGTATTTAATTGTTAGGTTTCTTTTTTTTTTTTTTTTTTTTTTTTTAACTGTTTAAATTTTTTTTGTTGGACAATGTTCTTTCCTTGCTGTCTTGAATTCTAAATTAAATCTTCGTTTTTCATTTTCTCAGCTTTTTGTTCTTAAAAAACTTTTAAAGATAAGAATGGCAGCTCAATGCCATTTAAAAAATGAAAGATTTTGTTTTATTAGATTCATAGAAATGTATAGTGATAACACTAAGAACTTCTACAAAGTTTTCTTAAAAAGAAACCCTTGTAAAATGATGCATTTAGTAATTTTAGCTTGTTAATTTGTTTATGTTAAATACTGTTAATTTGTGTTTCAAGTTTTAAAAATTTATTTATTTATTCATTTTTTTTTTGTCTGAGCTGATAAAAACCGACTTAGAGAAGCTGAAACATTCTTACTATCTGCATCTCTCAAAAACAAGTTATAAACCCAGTGATTCTGCTTATGCTCTATAGCAAGTCTGATCAGACCTTGTTTCCCCAAATAATGTACTTTTTAGAAAAATAAACTCAAGGAGATACGTTTTCATGGTTAATCTAATTTTTTTTAATTTCAAATATGTCTCTTACCTTGCTTTAAAATTCTTTGTCTTGTCTATCAATGAGTGAGATCCTTATAAATGCAAATATTAATAGTTGGAAAAAGAGGTATGGAAACATCTGCTCATTATCCCATTTTTTTACAAATTTTTTAAACATGATTTGAAAGGCAGTTTATTTCATAAATTTTGTATTTTTTGAAAATTTAAATTGCTTTAAATGATAAATATTATTTTAAATTGGACATCTAAAAAAGGAGGTATAGTACTAAACTAACTTTCCAAAAATGTTGATCACAGAATTGTATAAGTACAATTATATCAGAAGAAAAATTCTGTTAAATTTTCAAAATACTGCACACTTTATGTTTTCAATACTGATTGAACTGTTACCCTGTTTTGTAATTTTTTAAGTTGTTACTGCTTTTAAATGTAAATAATTGTCAATTTATTTGTGAAGATAAAATGATAATTAAAGCATGTTTAACTTTTCCCCTTTCCTTGCATTGCATCACTTTGAAAGTTGCGATTATACTAACACTGTCATATTTCTAAAAATTCAAATGTTAAATTTTTTGAATATTTTTATTATCAACAGCTTTATTTCCAATAAGGCTGTTGTTTGAGACCTTATGAAGTATTTTTTATTTTTTTTAACTTGAAATGTTTTAAATTTGATTAATTAAGTGTACACAATTAATTTTTAAGAGCAAAATTTCTCTTTACCTTGAAAATGTTGCAAAACTATTTATAGTTTCTATTTAAAATGTTTCATTTGCTGAAATCTTTCTTTCAGTGATAAAATTTATTGGTTTTCAATATTTATTTCAGTTTGGAGCAAACACCAACTTTGCAGCTCTGCTTAGTATTTAATTATGGCAATATTTTTGATATGGCATGGTGCCCATATGGTTGCTGGGAAGATCCTGAACAAGATGGTGATATGTCAAGATTAGGTTTACTTGCAGTTGCAAGTTCTGATGCATTTATTAGAATATATAGGTAGTTTGCACATATCATTCTTTATAGCTTTTATTTAAATGTGAAATTGTCAAAAATTTACATGAAAAACGTTTTCAGAGTTTGCCTTGTATTCTATTAATCTTAAGTCATATTCAACCCTAACTCTTTTATTTTTAACCATATAAATTTTGAAGTTTTCTTAGACTGTTTAAAGGTTTGGAAATTTACGAACAATGAAATATTACTATTGATAAATGGTAAAAATTTCAATGGAAATGTGGAGTTTTCGTATCAGGCAAACAAATAAGCCCTCATGTATCATCTTAAAGAATACTGCGGGTATATCGAAAATCAAGAACCTCATTTATCTATTGCAAAACATTGCTAGACCTAGGTTTGATTTTTCTTCACCCCATAACATTTATAAATGTATTTCCTACATTGACCTGGATTTTTAGGAGAGTTTTCTTTTCATATATTTGGAAATAATTTATTTTATTTTCAGCCAATTTAAATTTAGATTATATATTTATCTGTTTAGTGTGAATGAATCATCTCTATTTTGTCATTCCTATCTTTTATCCTACTAAAGGTGTACCATTGTGACTCTAAAACGCTTACAAGTTTTAGTAAAAATTAATTTTTATAGTAAAAATTAATTAGTAGTTTTAGTAAAAATTAATTAGTTAATTTTTATTCATATTTTAAAAATAAATAAATGTAGTTTATTACTTATTATGCATCTGCCTTCTGGCAAACTTCTGTGCACCTACCGAAAAAGTATAAATAAAAATTTAAATGTTAACAACACAATCGTTTAACTGCTAACATCAATTGCTCAACACAGTAGAGGTTGTCGATTGAAAGATTGTTAAACAATACCATAATTTCAACATAAAATTGTAGGTTTATACTCAAATTTTAATTTTTTTCTTCATAAACTTCCTCTAGCTGTCAACAATAATGTTTAAGTACTGGAAGTTTATTTGTTTTAATAATTGTAAATATGACAATAAGTTTCAAGCAAAAATTCATGCTAAAACTTATAAAAAAGAGGGATTAAACAAGGTCCTTATCAAGTAGGTTGAAGAGACAAATGAGAAAATATTACATTTGTTTACAACATAGATAATAAATAATTTCTTTCATTTGTATATTATTTTTAAAAAAAATTTGTTTGCATAACATTTTAAATTGTAATTGTATCATTTTTAATACTCTGGGCTGAAAAAAATAGGAAGGAAGTAAACAATTTGTCTTGTATTTCTGGTGTTTACAACTGTTTATTATAGATCAAACCATTTTTAAGAATTTTCTTTGTTCTTTCTAACATAGCCCATTGCATTAACAAAGAAATGTTATTAATATTCTTTTGTCATTTCTAGCAACACAAAGGTTTTTCAATGTAAAAAAAAATGTTTTTTTTTTCGATTAAAGAAAATATTTGTTTATAAAAAATACTTAGTTGCGTAATTATGTCCAGCAAAAATCAACAAACAAGTTATACTCTGTGAATTATAGTAAATTTTATATCGAGAATATTTGTTTCTTATTGCTGAGTTAATTCCTTTTTTTCATATCTGTTCAGATATGCTGGTATAATTTGCTCACATATTTAAGTTATTACAATCAATTTCTATAGCATATTCATTGCATCTATACTATCACAGCATTTAAAATTATTGTTGTGACACAGCTTGTCAATCTCCCGTCATAATTGTTTTTTTTGTTGTTGTTTGATCTTGTATAAATAACTAAATAAAATTAGTATTTTATTTCATATTATTTTGGAACATATATTTTCTGCACTTCCCGCAAAAAGATCTTTGTCTGACAGAAACTTAAACTTACATTTAATATTGTACACTATAATTTTTTGTTCTCTCTTTTTCTTTTAGCATTCCGCATCCGAATTTCACCAATTCAGATGCAAGCAGTTTTCCTTTATACGATGTGTCTCCTTCAGCAGTTTTGAAACCTTTGTACAGTGCTCCTGGCACAATTACAGAAAAAAATGCATGCATCACTTTACATTGGGAAAAAACTGGCAAATGTGAACGCATTGCTGCAGGATATGGAAATGGTATAATAGTACATTCTGTTATTTATTAATTTAGTTCTTGAGAAATGAAAATTAAATAAAAGTTGTACTCGTAAATTTTTATATCATTAATAACTATTGAACCATATTTGAACAGGTTTTAGTAATTAAATTTTCACAGTTTAACATAATGTAAACATTTAGATTTTTTAATTTGTTTATTTTGCACAAAATTATCTATAGTTATACTTAATTGTGCTCAAAATGTTACTCTTCATGCAGTTATTTTTATAGATGTAGTAAAAAAAAAAATGAAGGGATTATTAGGATGTTTATCTTTCCCAACCGATCATAGAGATCTCCCTGTTAGTCAATTGTTTGTTGTAGTTATTAAAAAATGGCTTGCTTATACTCGAGCAAAATTTGTTTGACCAGCAAAGTATTAAATTTGCTCTCCTAAACTATCGAGACTACATCCTGTTTCTCAGCCCAGAATCTGAATTTGTCAGAAAGAATAGAACAGACTTTATGCAGACATATGATATCGAAATGATTTAAAACCATCAAGGCATTTAAAAAATTCAAAGATGTATGTATATAAAAGACTTCATTTGCATTTTTTTAATATTTGTGAAATTTCAGAAACACTTGCTTAGATAGTTTTTATATTACTACTACTTTAAATACCTGGAAAGTTTGACATTTCGAGTTGGCATGTTTATTCAGTAATATAAGTACGTTAGGTAAGCATGTAGATATAGCTTAAATATGGGTATGTTCATCCAGGTATGTTCATGCTTATTATGTGTTCATTCTCAGTGACAGTAAGTTTTGTTTGATTTTTACATAACTTAGTTTTGTGAACAACACCAGTGGTGCAAGTGCTGCGCCAATTGTGGAAACCTGCGCCTACATGCTCCAAATTGAGGTACTTGGCTTAAAATATGCCGATCTGCGCCCAAAAGGATATCCCCCCCCCTGGGTATAGCAAAGTCACAATTTTGCGGCAACCAAGCTTCTGCCATGTGGAGGGTTGCTCTGCATTCAGTGGGAAGGATTTTTGCACTCTCGTGTGCAACTCTGCTTCATTTGGCAAGATATTCTCAATTTCTGGCTTCATTTTCCACTCTCTGAAATGGAACCGAAACTCGAAACTTCTCTCGAATTTTTGGGGACCAACTAGCCATTGCCAAATTTTAATAGCAAAAGAAAATTTTTTATTTCTTGTTAATTTCATCGTTATTGAAGTGCCATTGTCTTCGTCAATGGCAAGCTAATGACCTTCTTGCGCTATTTAATTATAGATTAGTACCACGATCTTTGAATTAACTTGAGGGACCATTCACTAAGTACATATCTTCATGTTGATCCTCAGAGCAGTCAAGAATCACAAAGCTTCATAACCTCAACATTTCCTTCTCCCTTTTATTCATTTACTTTAATAAAGATAAGAATTAATTGAGTTTCCTAAACGTAAATTTTTTTATCTGAGGGACCATCCACTAATTGCATATTTTTTAAGCATTTATTTTAATTTATTACTTTTTTTTACTTATTGCATTTTATTATTGTATTATTACTTTCAAAATTTTCAGTGCTCTTAATTCGTTTTAGGAAAAAACTAAATATTTAGAAGCAAGATTTTAAATAAGTATGAAGAGAAGGGGTTTTCAATATTTTAAATGCAGCAAAAAATCTTATGTTTTTCAGATTTGTCATTCAAAAATACTTTAATTCATCTCTTAATGATTTGATTTAAAAAAGTTGATATAAAAAAATTTAATTATCACAGATTTGCTAAATATTATGAGTGTAGGGACAATATAATAATTTACTTCTGACAAAAAATTTTTAGCTTCTATACTCATTGTATTTGCATTAATAATTATAAAAATTTTCATCATTTCATTATTAAAATACTGTGCTTGGTAACCAATTTTAATAAAAATTTATTAGGGGCCATTCACTAAATTACGTTTGTAATATAAATTTAATTAAGTTTTCTTAATTTGCTTAATTCTTTACATATTTTTATAAATTCGTTATGATCAATATTAATCCTGTTAGTGTTTTGTTGAATATACTGTTACAAATAACATTTATTTAAATTTTAATAAAAAAAACACTCGATAACCTCAAATAATAGCTAAATTAATTAACTCAATATTAAATATATTTAAATTGCTTTTGCCAAAAGCTCTTTTTTTAGGAAATATTTCTGCTATATTAAATAAATTTTTAGGTCTTTTCCAAACTGAGACACCATTGATTTACTTGCTTTATGATGAAATGGTGTCTCTAGTTAAAGCATTGTTAGGTTTTTTTTAAAGAGTTCTGCTTTTCTTAGTTTGTCAGGGAAGGACTTAAAATTATTGGATGTAGAAAACGCAGATATTTGGCAAAATTCAAATTTAATAGATGTTCTACTAGATATCACAAAGGCGATGACGTTCTTATTTTCTTCAGAAAAAAATCTAATTATTTAGCAGGGCTGATTGTGCTCCGGAAAAAATCCGGATTTCCGGATATTTTGCTAACCGTGATCCGGAAGTTTCCGGAGATTGAAGGTTCAGATGTTTCAAAAAATCNGCCGCTTGAGAATAGGTTACTGTACCATCTGAAAGTGTTGCATTCTGTAATGAGAATGGAAGACACTTCTAATAAGCCTATAAGATATCTGTCAACAGTAACCCCATCCATTATAAAACCTGAAGAGGCATCTTTGTTACTGTTACGTGAGGAATCAGAAGGTTATTCTTCTGACTCAAATGAATATGCACCAATTGATGTGTTTTGGAAAAACTATTTGTGAAGAAAGATAATTTGGGAAATATCAAATATCCTCTTTTAACAAAGCTTTTTAAAGCTCTTTTGTGCATACCACATGTTAATGTTGAAAGAGGTTTTAGTGTTAACAAAAAGCTACTTGACAATAGGGCAAGCTTAAATTCACATAGTGTTAATGGTTTGAGACAAGTTGTGTCACATATTAGCAAAATAGGGGGTTTAAGTAACTTTAAAGTTGACAACGATATGATTAAAATGGGCGCTTGCAGCATTTAAAAATTGCTCTGCTCGATTAGAGGTTGGGAAAAAAGAATGTGATAACACTGAAACTGAGGAAAGCAGATTGAAAGCTGCTGAAATTGATTTGCAAAAAAAAAAATTGAAGGCTTCTTATGATCTCTTGGCCACAACTGAAAAAAATATGAAGGATGGGTTAAATAATAAAGACATGTCGATTATAGAAAGCTTACAGATCCTCTTATCTGAGGCTAAGTCGAGGATAGCAGAATATTTAACAGCATTGTAAGATAGCAAAAAGAAACTTATTTTGTTAATGCAGGGACCTTCAAAAAAGTGTTAAAAATAAGATATGTTATTAATGAACAAAATTAAAAATTCTTGTTATTAAATTCTTATTTTAATTCTTTTTATTAAATATGCTCCAAATCTTTGTTTTGCTGCTCCAAAATTGCTTTTTTGTTGCTCCAAAACCATGTTTTGCCACTTGCACCACTGCAACACTAATTAATTTATTTAAGATATTCCTCTCTAACCATTCAAGATAATAACTTGATGGATGTAATCATGATAATTAATCCAAAGTTTTTATCTATGACTTGTTTCGTTTTGCCTATCATAACGTTTTATAACATGAACATGTTAGGCTTGTTACATGTCAGTCTAGATGTTATCTGAGACTAAAATTCTAAAATATAAGTAATTTTTATTGTTATATTCACATTTTATAAATTATAAAGTGGTCCATGCTAATATTTTCAGGTACATACAGCTCAGCTGCAAAATATCATGAAATTAAGTTTTAATTAATAGAGTTTTGCAAGCATTAATTATTACTTATATTTTGATACATTAAAAAAAATTTAAAACTAATTATATTTTTTNTTTTTTTTTTTTTTTTTTTTTTTTTTTTTTTTTTTTGTTCAGAAATTAAATTCAAAGCTGTCTTTCTATTCTTTTGATACATTTTGATCAAATGACTAATTTTAATTCCATATAGCTAATCAATGCTAAGACTAAATGCTAAAGTTACCAATGCGAAGACACAAAATGATTGATACCAAATCTGTATTATACTTTTAACTTTTTTTTCATGCAAACATATTAATTTTTCTATTTTTAGGTAATATTTGTGTTTGGATGTTGAATACATCCTCATCTTTACTTACCGGAAATGAAGACAATGTATATGTTCCTTATTTACTGTTCCGTTCCCATTCTACTCCTGTCACTGCAGTGGCATTTGCAAACTTATCAAAAAGTCAATGGCTTGTTAGTACAGGCTTTGAAAAAGAAGTGAAGTTTTGGAATTTAAATGACACATGTAAGAAGACTATTTTTGATTTAAAAAAATTTTTGACAATGGCAAATGTAAAATTTGTTTTACTTAGTTCCCTTTGAATAAATATCAGTGGGAAAATTAAAAGGAATTCTTATTTGTTGCAATTTATTTTGAAACTGCAAATTTTGAGCATCTATTGTTTTATTTCAGCTTTACCAGTTGCTACTGTCAAAGATGGCTATGCTAGCAATGTGGAATGGGGTGCCCAATGTTGTGGAGCATTTATAACTAACCATGATAGTGTTAGGTGATTACAGCTATTTTCTATTGTATAAGATGTTTTAGTTTCTTAAGTGATGCCCGTTTAAAAATTTGCTTACAAGCATTGTTATATATGTATGTATATATTTTTTTTCAAATGTGTAGTATTCCTTTCATTAAAAGTTTGAATTCAAAAGCACTTACCAGTGATATTTTAATTTATTCTCGTATTATTTTTATTTCTAAAACCTGAAATATATAACTAATTATTATATTACTACTGCATTTGTTTTGTCATTTCTTGACTATTGTTGTATCTTGTAAATCTATAGTTAAATAACAAATATCTTAATCTTTCAGAGTTTAAACAAAAGCAATAAATTTTTTTTTTGCATGTGCTAAAAATGAAAGCTGCTGTTTTTAATCTGCAAACTAATAAATAAATTATATACTTATCAATTTGCTTTTTTTTCCCCTTTAAAAGAAATAAATACAAAAAATAAAATAAACTTCATTTACAGAAGTTTTTATTCTTAGGCTGGCTGTCATCAAACTTGGAAACTACCATTTTTCACAATCCTTTGTTTATGCTGAAACAGTTTGATGATTTTATATAGACAAATTAATTCCTTTTTTTATTGTTTTAACAATGTTATCAATTAATTTATAAATCTCATTTTAATTGCTTTAAAATTAATCCCGAAAAGAATCTGATTTCATTACTTTTATAAAGAATAAATATTTTAAAATGGTGCTAAATCAAATGTTTCTTTTTGTCATGAAACTTACTCTTTTATGAGCAAGTAAAGCTTGATAAAACTTCGATAAAATGTTTGCTTAGTATCACAATGAATTTAAATATCTATAGTTAAATGGGCAAATAAACTACCACAGCCCTTATGTGATAAAATGTCTTGTAATCAACATTCACAATAAGTAATGTTAGAATCCTAATTAAAAAGGAAATCTTAATAACCTACACATTAGGGTTGCAAACAAAAATTTAAGTAAAAAGAATAAATTATTATCAACATTTGAGTAATTATTATCAAAATCACTCAAAAGAAAAATGAGATGGAAATTATTTACAACCAGTTCATTTACCAGATAAAACTGAAGGATAGTTCATAGGACAAGGAGAGAAAAAAAAATGTATTACGAATTTCTTTGTTAAAACCTTGAATGCTCGTAAATTGACTTATAATTTCCACTTTCAACTTTAGTCTTTTATTTAGAAGTTTTATTAAGTTCCGAAAAAGAATTACTGTTACAAATTACTTTTGTTTTGTTTTTATTCGCAATATCCGAAACATATTAAACTCTTAAACCAACAATACTGAGTCTTCAAAGTGAAAAGTTAGTTTAAATAATTCATTGTAAATTCTCATTAAGGAAAAGAACTTGATATAATTTATTGGTTAATACTTTTTGATGTTTCTAATTTTTTCATATCTTATTTTGATTAAGACAGACTGACTGTTCATATACTTTTTTCTGTTTTATATACTTTAATAAATGTAAATAATGAGAATTCTTTTACTATTTATTACATAAAACCTTACAGAAAGTGGTATGCTAAAATTTTTACTTTGTGCTTGTAACTTAGCAATGTTAATCCTTTAAATAAATAAACAATAATTGTTATAGGTTTTACAGATTTTAATTAATTTTTTTTTCTAGTTTCAGAGCATCTCACTTTTTACGAGAATTTGAACTTGAGACTTCTGTTGCAACATGTATGGATGATTGTAATATTACTACAAAGGTGTGTTACTAATTTTTATTTCTTCAATTTCATCAATTATAAAATATTTACAATGATTAAATAATGCTATTTGTTTGATGTTGCTTCCATAATATGGTCGCTAACTTCTTAAACATGACTTAGGAGCAAAATTACACTATATAGCAGAGTTCGAACGCACTGGATTAGGAAAACCAAGAATTGTCATGGAAAACAATATTTGAAAGGAAATCAGCGGAAACGTAATTTTGTTCCAAAACCGGACATTGTCAGGGAATTTTGCACCCGGTTAAATTGCCAAATTTCACTGTTCCGTTTTCAACCATAATTTCGCTCAATAGAGGATTTAAAAAATAATAATTGGATGTTTTTTTGGGTCCAAGAGTAATTAAATGTAACCTCAAGATTCGATTGTTCTTAAGCGCTTTTAAAATGATGTCAATTGGATGTCCGAGTTAAGTAACTTGCAAATTCTGTCTTAAGAGTATTAACATGTTATGTTTGTTTTTAAAATCCACGTTTGTTTATCAATGTTCATCATCCTTCATTTATTGCGACAAATTAGTGTTTTATAATTTCGCATAATAATATTAATTTTTACATGATTGCAGCTCATGCAAATGGGTGAAAAAAATAAAAACTCACTGAGAGAAAATAAATATGAATGACAAAATATTTCATAAAAAGAAATATAATTTATTTACATTACTCAGAATCGAAAAATCTATTGAAAAGAATTTCCGAGTCATCGTCCAAAATAAGGTCAACACACTCTTCATCCAGTTTATCAGTAATGTCATTGTTTATGGATTCGACATTAACTTCCGCTAATTGAGACCCATCTTTGCTTCCATCTAATCACTAGAAATACTACAATGCTTAATTGAGTTCTAGATCTTCAGGGACAGCCTCCCAAATGACCGACACAAAACCAAACGCATCTTGCCAAGTTGGCTTTTAAATTCCCAACAAGGATCTTTTGTTAGCACCCATTCTCCTCTTAATGCACTTTTAATAGGCGCCATCCACAAAACATCTGCTGACTGCAAAACGCTTGTGTACCTTGCCGGAATTAAAACTATATCTGTGTCCAGACTTGAGGTTTTATGGATTGTAGCCCAATCCAAGATAATTAACCTCCTAATGTCAATCCTCGTTTGAACCCTAAATCCTTGTTGGCCGACTTTTCATAAAGTTAGCCATCATCCGTCTGTTAACAGAGCAGTTAACCTTAAAGTTGTTTGGTGTCTTTAGGAATTTTAAAAAAGGATTCATTCTCTTTTACTCCATATCTCTTCCATTCAATTCCACCCTCTTTCTATTCACAATTTTCTTCCTCCCATGGACACTTCTAAGAATTACACCCTCTTCCTTGTGCGCAATCTTTCACATTCAATTCTCCTATCTCCCACCCCATTTTAAAATTTCTCCCTCTCTTGCCAGCTAGTGTATATACCATTCTATGTGACTGTCACATTTACACTTAATGTAAAGTGACAAATTAATTTCTAATTTTACTTAAGCCTTTAATTTTTCTTTAAACGTTATTCCTTTTTTTCAATTTAGCAATTTTTTTAACTTTCTCATGGTCATTGCGGTCATCGCACTTCCTGTGAGGAAAGTCAACCAACAGCTCTATTCATGCCTTTCTTTTTCTTCTTTTAATTTTAGGGGGGCTAACTAACCAATCTCTTTCCTTTAAATTTCAAACTCTCCGCCTCTTTAAACTTAATTGGCCGTAATTTTTCTGGTCTACCCCAGTTAAGGAATTTTTTTAAGTCACTTTTTTAAGACGTTCTCTTTTTCTCGAGCCTTCGGGCAGGTTACCCTTTTTTAAATTCTGCGCGATGCGGACTTCGGTCCGTATCGAGGGATTTCTTTTTACATTTTTTCTTAACCTTTATTTTAAATTAAGTCCATAGCTGCAATCAATTTCTGTAAATTTAAAATCAACATTTTATACCTTTAATTTTCTTTAACATTAAAAAAAAACCTTCTCGAATTTAAGCTTTCTTTCCATATTTATTTTAACCTTTAAATTACTCATTATTTTATATTTTACTTTTATCTATGACGCCTTCTGTGTTTTAATTTCTTTCGTCACCCATTTCTATTAAAGGTGTTCCTAATGTTAAAAATTGTTTTAAAGACGTCTTTCCAATAGTTATGTTGTTAGATATTTTTCTTAAATAAATCTTAAACGCAAGTTAAAAATGTGTTTCTTTTGTTGGTTGTCTTTTTAAATGTCCTGTGTGTACAGGGTGAGTACCTTTCAATTATTGTTATGGGCATGCATTAATGTGAATTTATTAGTTTTTCTCATTGGAAACATCAGCTTACTGTATTAAATCATATATATTGTTTGGATATAGCATGACTTTATCGTTTTATCTTTAATATTAAATTTATTTTNGCTTGTGTACCTTGCCGGAATTAAAACTATATCTGTGTCCAGACTTGAGGTTTTATGGATTGTAGCCCAATCCAAGATAATTAACCTCCTAATGTCAATCCTCGTTTGAACCCTAAATCCTTGTTGGCCGACTTTTCATAAAGTTAGCCATCATCCGTCTGTTAACAGAGCAGTTAACCTTAAAGTTGTTTGGTGTCTTTAGGAATTTTAAAAAAGGATTCATTCTCTTTTACTCCATATCTCTTCCATTCAATTCCACCCTCTTTCTATTCACAATTTTCTTCCTCCCTTAGACACTTCTAAGAGTTACACCCTCTTCCTTATGCGCAATCTTTCACATTCAATTCTCCTATCTCCCACCCCATTGTAAAATTTCTCCCTCTCTTGCCAACTAGTGTATATACCATTCTATGTGACCTTGACCAACATGCAACAGGGAGAAAAAAGATTCCCCTCTCTTCCCACTGCACTTTAGTTAGCAATCTTCTATTCAATTACTGTGATTGGTTAATCCTTGTACTTTTTCTCCATCTCTTTGCTCATTTACAGTATAACCTCATAAAATAAGAACTCATCAATGAATAATGAATTTAAAAGTCTTCATAAAATGAAGACTTTTAGATTGTGCTGTAGGGTGTATTGCCGTATTGGTACTGATTGAAAGTCAGTATTTGTGTGAAACTAACTACAGTGGCGCTTTCTCGAGTCAACATGTTTTCTCGGTATTTTACGGTGCTTTCAGCGCAACAAAATATAAATGACTCAATTAAGTTTCCTTGTAGCAGGAAAAATTTATATTTCTCATTAAGATGTTGCTTTTTAGATTTCATTGAAGCTTTATTTTATTTTGTTATAGTTTTGTGTATTTATTTAGTTTTTTTTTTTTTTTTTTAAACTTCCTCAGAAGAGTGGATATTCTGAACCAATGAATGCTATTGCTGTTTCTGATGAGAATGGTACAATTACAGCTAAGATTCTACATACTCTTCACGGTTTACATCCTAGTTCTTTGGAAAAGTTTCCTCGTCGCAAAAGTCATGCAGTGAGTCTACTATAAAATACTTATATAAGATATTTTGTTTGTTAAGTTGCTTTTATCTGTGCCATTTTAAATCACCTTTTGTATTACTTTATTTATTTTGTATTGGAATATGGCAGATTGTTTTGCAATTTTATATGCATTTTATTACAAATTTAAGAAGCTCTCCTGAAAATTAGTCTGGAAAATCAAAAGTGAAATCAACCATCACATTGTAAAAAAAAAATAATTTAAAAATAGAACTCCAACTATGAAGTGACTAGAATTTTGGCCTTCACAATTTTAAACAAATGAGACATAACTGGTCCTTAAAAATTCAAATCAGTGAAAAATTGAATTTGTAATTAGTTATGAAAATCAAAGGAGTTTGGTAAAATCAGTTTCTATAACCACCATCAGTTCGGTTAGAAAATAAATTCTACTTCCTCTATGCAACGTATAGAAAATTATTGGTGAGTAAAATAAAATTTATGAAGTAAATATTTTTAAACATTGTAAGTATTTTTGTTGTGAACTCACTGATTAACATTGATGATGTCTATTTTAATAATCTGAGACTGTTTATAAAACTGAGAAAAACATTTTGATTTGTTATACAAAATGTATGCAGGTTGATACATTTTTGTTGTGTCATGGTATATTTAAAAAATGTTTTGTCAGCTCTCCTGTCTTAATTCAGTAACACGTATCACACAGCATAACATGTTTGACGCTGAAAACTCTTTTACAAATCAGGACAAATTATGAAATGTTGATGACTGTTGAAATGAATGACGAAATTTTGCTACTAACAGATATTGTATCAGTTGTGTTACACGACCCTTCAAAAATTTTTGACGTTTTGCATGAATAATCCATCAACAGTAAATATCATCAGGAAATACAGGTAAAAGTTTAAGAATCAAATTTTGACCATCGCTATTTATTTTGCTGATCTCTCGCATGTTTATAGATCTACGGGGGAAATTTACATAATTCTATTCACATGGGATGTTAAAAGAGCTTTACATCTGGAACTTTTTGTCAACTGGCAAATTTATTTTGTCAATGCGAAAGTTCATTGGGTACCGAGAAATCCCTCAAACTATATACTCTTATAATTCAACGAACTTCCTTGCAACTGGTAAGGATCTCTTTATACTTTGGAATGGTCTAACATTAGTTCCATCATTTTTATGCAGACCATCCTATAAATTTGTAGTTTATAGTACCTCGAGCGTCTTGGTGGGAGAAAATGGATGGAACTGTGAAAAGAAGTCTGTGCAAAACCAAAGAGCAATCACATTAAGGAAGAAAATTTTATCAAATTTCCAGTAGAAATTGAAGTAGAAAAGGGGTGACAAGTACTGCTATCTAAAGTTTGGAAGTATCTACAAGCTCTACTAGATTCAGGGTGGCCACCCACCTGGAAAACCTTGAAAACCTGGAATTATCAGGGAATTTTTTTATACTGGAAAAAACCTGGAAATATCAGGGAAATTTGGATAAAAACCTGGAAAAATCAGGGAATTTTAAAGAAAAGCTGGAAATTTTTCTTTGATAATTTTTTTAATTTCACTAATTTAAATTATTTACTAATTTTCTTAATTTAAATTATTTCATCCATTATACCCACTTTTTTTAAACGGAAATGTATCGCCAAACAGTTGAAATATCATCAACTTAGCTATACTTTGCTTGCATCAAAATTTGCTCCATTACAGCTCTGTTAAACTAGAATGCCACATAAAATTCTCACACAGTTGCTAAACGAATGTAGAAACCTTTGACTGCTATGGGACTGTGCAATTTAGGCAAGATTCTGGTGGGGGTGGAAAAAGGGATTAGGATATTAGCTTTTTTTTTTTTTTAAATTCTCTCCTTGGGCTGAATCCATTTATGGCTCAACTTTGTTCCAATGCTTTGGTGGTAATTTTTTTTTCTATTTTGACAAAATGTTTTTGTATTTTTAACTTTATAAAATTCTCCAAAAATTAGTTGGTTATAATTTAATAATAGATTTTATATCGCAGTCTTTTTCTGAAAGCTTTTCTACTCCCAATCAAAGAAATCTGAATTATTTTTCTCAGCAAACCAACCAATCACACATTTTTTTACAATCGCTAACAGCAATGTTTGTCGACAAATCGTTACAATTGTTGCATTAATGCTAATTTTTTCTATTTCATTTTAACCTTTTATAACATATTTTAATTTAAAAAAAAATGTTTTTTTAAGAACCAACTATATATTTATATTTAATTTTACTCTTTTGTTGGTCAATATGATTTTTGATTCGATATTTTGTACCAAAACATTAAAAAATAAATTTAAAAAAATCTTGAAAATTGTCAAAATAAATTATTTTTTTCAAGACGATATGTTAAAAAAATAACATTTTGAATAAAATATTTTATAATATCGACACTTTTCTTGAACACATCCTATACTTAATATGAAAAAAGAAACAAAAACCTGGAAATTTTATGATTTTTATCTGGAAAACATGGAAAATCAGGGAAATTTGAAATCGGATTTGAGTGGCCACCCTGTAGATTCATTTTGGGGTAGATGGTCAAATGATATTTGTTATATTTGAAAAGCTATCATGAAGTTAAAAATACAAGAAAGCTATTTAAGATGTTGTACTTCTCCAAGAAAAGCTTCATCCTTGCCAAATGTGAAAGAAAGCTCTTGTTCTCAAATTTATACCTGAGCGCGCCAGAGTAGTAAGAACTGTCCATTTGGTGTGTGGGGACATGATCTTGTCACGTCCTCAACATCTCTCATTTCCTTGGAGACAAGCCTGGGTGGGAAGGATGTTGACAAATAAGATTGATGTGTCTGTGGCTTATATGTGTATTTCTTCCCCACAGTATCGTTTAAACACTCACAAATTAACATTGACTATGTTTATTTGTGGACTGCGAAACAAGTAGTTACTTTTGAACTGAGAAATATGTATTGATTTCATATACAAAATTTACTAAGGTTGTAGTACATTTTCATTGTATCATTCTTTATGACATGTTTAATAAATGCGTTGTGTTGTCAGTTCATCTTAAATTAGCATTACACAGCATGCATGAAAATTTTTTGAGGTTATGCAAAAGTTTTTCAAATACTTTCAATTTTAAAATAGATTCTTTTCAGGGAAAAAAATATTCAAAAAACTTAATCGCTGAATAAGAAAGTAAATCACATTCATTTAAATATTCAAAGGTTAATATTTTGAAAGTAGAATAATTTTTTTCTATCTGAAAAGGACCGTGAGAAAAAAGAATGCAAGTAATGAGTGGCTATAGAATTTCAAAGCAAGACATTCATAAAATAGTCTATTTATACAAATTGTTGGCATTAAAATAATTATTTCTAAACAAATTTTTTTTTTCTAATTGCTTTTTTGTGAATTCAATTTTTTTATTTCGTTATTATCTGATCCTTAAATGTTTTTTTATACTAATGTACATTTAAATTAATGTGTTTATAGCAGAAAATATATCACACTATCAAAAATGTATTGTAAATAATAAATATTTATGTAAATAAATATTTTTCAATTATTATTGTGTATTTTCAACCAAATTTGTTATATTACATTAACTTTTCTTGAGCTTTATATTTTTGAATATTTTTAAATATTTATTTTCAATATGGGTTTCATGCAATATCAAATTGCTGTAAATAAGCTCATTGTGGGAAGTAGATGTCAACCTTCATCTATGAAAAGTTACCCCACCATAGAATCGAGTTGATATGTTTTATATGCTAGTGAATTGGAATTATGTTTTTGTAGTGGTAAATACACTACACTCATGAATGGCTTTGATTCTATTTTAAGATGTAATTGAAAATTTTTGTTTAATTAATTTTTATTTCTTATTAGGGGAAAGCTGTCATTCCACCATTAAAAGAAGTGGATAAAACTGCAGAACCTTTTATTAATTATCAAGATTTGGCTGTAAATACTGTAAGTTTTTTTAAAAAAATTGTTATTTTTTAGCATCATAAGGAAACATTTGTTTATCAGTATCAGTAACTTATATCAGATTTTAAAACGCAAAAGTTTTTATAATAATAAATAAAATTCAAAATAAAGTATCTATTATAAAAAAAAAAATATTTTTTCTTTGTAATTTTAATTTCTTTATTATTTTTTATAGGAATTATTTTCATTTGTAATAAAGTGAGTTAGTGTGTTAAACATTTTTTTAAAATAACAAATCCAATGAAGGTGAATTTCAGGTCAAATTCTTATTTACCATATTTAGAAAATGAATTCAAATCTTATATTATGATTGAAGTTGTTTCAAAAATTTGGATTAATCTCTTTCTATGTTTTATGTAAAATATATTCATTTTTGACAATTTAATAATTGCTGGATGTTTTGAAATGATGAACTGAAGAAATGTTTAGAAATTAAATTTTTCAAATAAGGTCTTAAAAATTACTAAACTATTTCTTTAATTAAGTTTTGATCAAACTGAATTGATCCTAAATACAATTTTTAAAAGAATTTCTTTCAGATTGGCTATTGGCAAGAAAAACTAATTAAAATGTCATCTGACTTAAGATGAAATGACTAAATATATGTTAAGAAAACTATTTTTCAAATTTAATTTATGGTTCTTTTATTATAGTTTTTTTAAATTTTAATCTTTGTTATAATTTCATTTATAGTAAATTGTCAAGCATGTTTCTGAAATGAAAATTTTCTGTACAGTTCAGCTTTTCCTTTTATTTTCTCATATAACTGTTCTGTTTTTTACTCATAAAGTTTGCGATACACTGTGAAAAGATTTTTATGGAAATACTTTGCACAATCAGGAGAAATAATTAAATATATGTTTAAAACAAAATTTGCTAGTTAAAAGCTGAAATCTCGCACTTTTGGCTAAGAGAGAATCAGCTGTTGCTATCTATTCTAATAAAGAGTGAATCGTTTGAATATTTTTTTTTATTTGTGTCACTGAAATTCATTGAATATATCTCATAAAAATTTTTATTTATTTAAAAAGTAAAGGAGTTTTAAGATAGATGAAATGTTGTTATTTACACTAAATTTCGAAGTGCTAAAGAAATTATCTATCTCTCTTATCCTTCTATGCTAAAAAAAATAAGAATCGCTTAAATTTTTTCCAGATTATCTTTTTGTAATTATATATTAAATTACTGCAACTTAAAAAAAAGTTAAAATTAAAAAATTTAAAATAGCTTAAAACAAAACTAATTCACTAAAATAGCTTTTAACTATTTTTCTCTATAATTAGCTTTTTTCAAATTTTAATTCCAGACTTGCACTTATTTTATTTAATTGCTTTTTTTGTCATTTTATTATACAGTAATAAAAACTCCATAGAAAAATTAAATAGTATTTAATTTAGTGAGTAGTCACTACCTCATAAAGTAACTTAGGTTTCCGAAGCAATGTTATCACTTTATCCAAGTAAGATGTAGCATCTGTAATCAGAACAGCATGTTGTAGTTTTCCTATTTGAAATTGCAATATATCCCCCCCCCCCAGTGTTTATACTGATTTGATTTCAACACACGCAGACAGATGGTAGCATATGTTTGCAGAACCTCCCTTCTGCATTTGTTTCACTAGATGATGTCACAACAGCCCATTCGTTACCAGTAAACTTAAGTTTAAAGCTATGATTCGACTTCAAATCCTAACCTTAATTGATCAATGCAACTTAACTAAATCTAACTTAACCTAGTACTTTTTAAACTTTTGATGAAAGGTCATTTAATGACAAAATACCTTTTACCAAAAACTGAAACTGAAGGGATTATTGAATTAGGAAAATAGTACTGGATATTTGTAAAATTTCCATACATTCTTTCTTAAAAATGTAAAGCAGTAAAATTATATGATTTGGAGTTTTGAGTAAATAGCTGGAAACTCCACATTTCTTTTTTTTAAACTTTTTACAGTTTAAACTGTTGAAAACCAATCTGATGTTGAAAAAGAAAATTAAAATAATTTTGTGAAAACAAAAGTCTTAAAACAGACAAATGTGTATACTTAAATAAGTTTCAAAAATTTTTAAATTTTTATTTTCATAATTTTATTGGTGTAATTTTATCAGAAAAAAGAGAGAATTGTCATTGTCACATAAATTGTCATCTAAATTGTTTTAAAAAATAATTTCTCTTATTAATCCTGAAATAGTTTTTTTTTTTTAAATAAAATTCGGATTTTTTTTTCTACCATAAAATATCTGATTTAAAAGGTCGTTTGTGGGAAATGCAGGGTACTTCTTAATCACCACTCTTAGGATATATTTCCGATGTCCTTGTTAAAATTTAAGTGCAGGGAGAACACATTTCTTAATCCTGTAAGATTCTATTACAATTTTTTTGACTTATCCTTTATAATTTTAGATCTCCTGGAATCCAAATCATAGTTCACGCTTTTGGTTAGTTGCTGGTGGCTCTTCAGGTGTTGCTAGACTTTCTTGTCTGCATGATTTAAAAATTGATGATGCTATTTCATAGACCAGTGCATCATACTTGTGATAAAAGTACACTTCATAAATTGTTATTCATCATTCATTATGTGTATATTTTCACATCATGTACCTCCTTAACTGTTATGCAAAACTATATGCCAGATCATCATCAATTATCTTTAATCATATTTGTAATAGTTATATCACTTGGATCACTTTTAAAGATTTTTCTATCTGTATTTTCTTTTATATTAAATAATCTGTTTATGAAAAAATATAAAGTTCAATTACGTTAGTAAAATACTTTGTAATTTTGCATAGTTAGAAGGAAATTAATAGCAAATTATTTTATAAATCTGTGAGAACTATAAGTTTTATTGTAATTAATGTATTATTTAAGCATGTATTAAACATTTTGTTATTGTTCTTAAATTCTGGAATAACAGTTGAACAAATTTATTAACACAATATAGCTCTTAAAATATATCTTTGAATTATAAATTTTGTCCAATCTAAAAATTTATGTATAAAAAATATATTACATCATTTTTTTAAAGACCACAATTATAAATCTTAAATATGCATAAAAAAATTTTTAAGCATGTAAAATAATGCTTTTTAAAAGCATGTAATAATGTGCTTGTTTGTGCTTTTTTTAAGCATGTAATAATTCAACCTTAAGATCAAAATACAAACAGAAATCGATTTTTTCATCATGGCATAAAAGTTGTTACTAAATATTTCAAAGTTAAAGAGATTTCATGTTCAACTATTTCTTCTTCAATTATTATCAAATATATTTTGCAAAATATATTTAAAAAAAAATTATTTTATATATAAGAATGTATTTTTTTAGAAAATATTTTCAATCATGTATAGATATCCTAATAGTTGTTATGTTACTTTTTCTCTCTAATTTATCTTAATATCAATAATATCAACGTTGATTTAAGATAGATATTTTCCCATTTGAAATCAACTAAACATAATGTAAGATTTAAGTTTTACCTGGAAATAATTTTTTAAAAGTTTTTTCAGGTTGCATATTTTCACAGATAAACTTTTGCCTTTAATTATTATTAAGAATATTGCATGTTAAAGGCTATTTTTTCCCCAAATTTTAAGAAATAAATGAGTATAAGAACTTAAAATTTAGATTTTCTGTGAGGAAAAAAGAAGTGAAAATCAGCTGTTTAATTAGTTCTTATAAGCTTGTTGAGATGCAATAATTTTTCTGTGTGACAACAAGAACATCTTTTTGAGGAAATTATTCTATTACAGTGCATTTTTTAAACTATTTTAAAATTGAAACTTTAGTATAAAATTATAAGTATAGAAATTTACTTAGTTGGATTATCCTAAGCATGAATTGAAATGTTAATTTTTCACTAATTTTTTTTCATATCTTATAAAGTGATCATAACTATTCCAAAAGTGATATGGGTGTTCACAGTTCTACTGAATTGTATATATATTTTATATATAAATGGAATACTGAAATCTAAATGTGCTTATATTTTAGATTTAATGGTCCAACTTTATTAAAAAAACTTATTAAAGAAATTAATTTCATAAAAGGAATTGAATTTTTATTTTCTAATGATTTGTTTGTTTAATGGCTTAGTTTGTGTTTTCTGAATAATTTTTTTCTTCATTACAACAGAAACCATTAAATTGTTTTAATTTCAAAGTATATTGTCGACATGAAATTTCCATTCAACATGTTCTTTTGTTTTGATGTGTTAAGGAAAATTTTAAAACAATAATTTTTTTTTCTGATAAAATATATAAAAAAAATGAATTGTTGATTTCTTTTTTCTTAGTTAATCATAATATTGATTGCACAAAAAAAGAATTTTAAATAATGTAAATAATTTATTAAATGTACATATGATTGTATAGTTTATATTTACCCATATTTATATGAGTGTATTAATTTCATTCTTCGGCTTTCTATTGTCAGCAATTTACAGCTTATATTGTTTACATTTTGACATCTGTCAGCAAATTAGATTGTATTTTCTTGTAATATTGGATATTAATCATTGTTTAGCATAAATCAATGTCATTTCTCAGTTACATTTGAACTAAATTTGTCTGTTTATAATAAAGATATTAACGTTTTTAAATTTAGTAAAAATCTCTAGATTTGAAACTAAAATTATTTTTTAATTGTGTTAGTGATTTAAAAAAAGCATGTGTAAAATTATATTGAGCTTCTATTTATAGTTCTATGGCTCTGGGTAAATCTCTTGATGATAATTATATAAAATTGATCTATGCTACTAAATTTGTCAAAAAGACGATTTTTGTGTTGTTTGTTGTGGTTTAAATTAATTTAATATTATTTTTTTTTCTTTACATTTTGGCCAGAAAGTAAGTGTATACAAAAAAAATTGTATCAGGGCATATTCTTTCATTTAATTTTTTGAGCTCTTATACTCCTAGCATTCAATGTGCATCATAAAAAGCAGAACTTAATAATTTTTTATATAAAAATTTACTATATTTTGGAATTAGTTACCATTTGAATAAGCATACTTTTTTTCCTCGGAAGATTTTCATTTCTGACTATTAGGGTATAGCTACTATTTTTAAATTACAGTACTAATTATTTAGCTTTGAGAGCACTCGAAAAACCCCTTATATCAATTTCACCTTTTGCGTAATTCACCATGCTTCTAGAAGTATAAAGTAAAATTTAAAAACAATTTCTACATATTTGTAAAACTTGTGTATTCAGTGTTAATTCCATGCAAAAATAATTGCTTTTTTACTTTAAATTTAGTAATGGTAAAAAGCAATTTGCATTTTTTATGCAAATTTTGCTTTTTGTCACATAAAATAATAGCTTATAAGGATAATGAAATCTTTTACCTCTTGCAATTCAACAATGAATAATTATGAAAAAAATTCTATTGAAATATCTTAAACCGAAAAATTTTTATGTTTGTTGATAAAAAAAAAACATTTATTTTCCGAAATATGCTAAAAGTAAATTTAACGTTGAGGCGGTCGAATTTTGACCTCTCTCTTGTGGCTCTATTTTGAGAGTAAAAAAGCCAAATTCATTGGAAAATATTTGTTTATTCAGAGAAAATAGGTTCACCATGTGAACCTATTTTCAACTATTTTGATCTATATTTAATTTCGTAAAACTTAAATTATTATCTACACCGAGTGTGGTGCAATATTGTTGTGCAGTGATGATTCCTTTTTTCTTGTTCTCTAAGTGCAGCTTTAGAGAAATTCTCACATATTAAGTTGCAGATAACGCAAAAAAAAAAGGCAAATAGCATTTTTTTTCTATTAAAAACCTTTTTCTTTTCTTTTTTAGAGTTTAAAAAAGAGCAGTATGTATCCTAATGAAGAAATCCATAAGCTAATGCCCATAAACAATTGGGGTCTCAGATTGTTTTACATGTTATCTCCACTCTTAAATTGGGATTTTAAAAAAATATTTAAATGATGAATTTTTCTATAAAATGTCACGTAAAAGTCTAATTCACCTTGGTAACTGCTGTGCGGCCAGTATTCTGTATATTCTTGATTTTAATCCTTTGACACAAGTGAAACACTCTTGCACGATTTTATGGCTATATTCTTACAAATTCTTGCAAAAATGAATTTAGATATTCTTTAATTATAAAAAATAGTCTAATAGTAATTTTAAAAAAATCTCTTAAATTATGAGAATTATAATTGTATTAAAATGTAAAATCCGAAAAGTCATATTCAAAAATTTATCAATAATTGATTTTGTAAATTATAAGAATTTCAATGATGAATATCTGTTGTTTTTTTTCTTCTTTAGATCTAAGTGCAAATTTGAAAAAATATTTTTTGAAAGTGAGTCGTGTCCTGAAGATTTTACCATTATCACAGAAAAAAATACTGGCATTAATGTACTATATTACCTAACCATAAATTATTGAAACGTTAAATATAATATTCACTTACTTAGACCTAAATTAATATAATATAATAAAAATTCTGCGTCAAAGGGATAAACAAGTTGGAAGCTAGTTCTAGTGCGTCAATTAATGGGAAACTACGATGTAATTTATAACTATAAATTTGCCATAAAAATTTATAAAATATATAACTGTTGTATACACTTAATTTTTGTCTTTTTATGTTGTAATTTTATGATAACTTGAAGTTAATACAAGATATGTGTTTTATAAAGAGCAAGGCACGTTAGAGTCTATATATATGTTATTAATTTAAGTTTATTGTATAACAAATATAAGAGAATTTTTTAAATGTAAATAAAGTTTGTACGCCTTATCAGCCTTTGTTTTATTTATTTTTTATTAATATTGAATAAAAACTTATTTATTAATTCCTTATGTATAATAGTTATGGTCTGGGCTTGTAAAATAAAGTCGCCATTGGCAATCAGTAAATTTTGAATTGTGACCATATTTTTATTTATGATTTGACTTTTTTTTTCTTATATTATTACTAAAAATTGGTTTAAGAATGAACTAAAACGATACATCTCTCCCCTGTTCTAGCCTGCATTTTCAACAATCATCTAAGGAAAAATCCTATTTTCCTCATTTTTGCACTATCGTTAAATTTCTGATACCACATTATGATTCATGAGTCTTATTAGTTTCGTCGTATAAATACAGGGTTGCCACAGGCGACTAAAATGCGACTATTTGCTACTATTTTCTGCCTTAGGTGACTTTTTTTGCCTGAAAAGACTAAAAAAGCAGCTATTTTCAAGAATAGGCGACTATTAGAAGACTTTTTTACTCTTAGCGAAGTTTTTTCGCATAAATGAACGTTAATAAAAGAAAGCAAACTTTTATACAATTACGTATTTATGTCCAAAAAGCCAAAAATTTAAATTTCCATTAGATTTAATAAAATATACTTGTTATTTTTTCTATCCGAAGGGCAGTTTTGTTATTTTTAATTGTTTTTTTCCTTCTATTAACATTCATATTTTATTGTAATTAGACTCTTATTTAGGTACCTATTTTCTAAGATGTATACCTTTTTATATTTGTACAAAACTTTTTTGTACAAATATAAAAAGGTATACATTTAGAATTGGAGCATAGATAGGACTGGGCGATAAATCGATGTATCGCGAAATATCGATTTAACGCATATATCGGTAGGCCGATGTAGTGACTTTCGTTTTAGGCGATGCATCAGAAATTTGATTTAAACAGCCGGAATAAGGCTACAATCGCGGTTTAACTATTTAATATGCAAGGATCCTTGACTAGGCTAGCGCTGTTACCGCACTGACGAAGACGATTTTAATTTCGTCTTGCTGCAGAGATGTAGATAGCGTTTTGCTATAAAGATGATGTTAGTTTCGTGATGTTGAATGACGAAGAGCGAATTGAATCCCAGTTTCGTGCGAGGATCAGCGTTGTTATGTAGAACGCAATGCACAGTTTCTTTATGTCCATTTTTGTCTTTTAGATTTTACGTTTTTTGAAGATTATTGGACTCAAGTCATTTTGCAATTGTTGTGCATTTTATTTTGTCAGAAATAATTGTCAGGTTCTTTGTAAATTATTTTCAGTCAGACTTACCATCAGATATACCATTTTTTTTCTGTCTGGGTTTAACGATTCTTGTCAATTATTTTTAGTAGACCTACGGTTACTTTGCGATTGCTGCACAATCGCTGTTATCTTAAATTTTCGTTCTGAACTCAATAGATCAATGAAACGAAAATATAAATGAAATAAAAAAAGATTTCCATTGATTTTTTTTCCATTATTGTGTTTCATTTTAAGCGATACAATTTAATAGGGGTATTTCGTATTTAACTTCATTATAAAAAGTTGGTTTTTTATTTAAATCTATTAAATGTAGGTAAGTATAATAATTTAATTATTGTTAAACCAATAAATGTCCAATCGTTTTTAACTATAAAAAAATTACAACAAAGCTTACATTTATTTAGTTTGCTTTTATTTTTGAGAAAATTAAAACGAAGTTTAAAAAATTTGGCTATTAGTTTTAAAAAAAAAGGAGAAAAAAAACAAATATTTTTTTTTTAATTAATTAAAGAGTTTAGTAATGTTTTGTCGCTTTTTTAATAATTTGGCATTAGTACTTAATTTTTTTTTTTATTAAAGTTCTTTCAATATTTGTTTGTTTTATAATTTGTTAGATAGTCAGTATCATTTTTAAACAAATAAATCTTTAGTCGATTTTATTTTCAAGGAAAATAATAACAAATAAGTATTTCTTAAGTACAGAATTTGACTATTAGTTAATGCTACCTTTTATTATTTTAAACAATTAAATAAAAAAGGGTCTAATGATGCTTCAAAAGCATGGGTTTTTTTTCCAACAAATAATTTTAAAGAAGTGTTTTTTTCTAAAGTGAACATTTCTTTGGTTTGTTTTCCACTTTCGTTTTTTTTACTTTTAATTTTCATTGCATGTATGTAAAATATTTTGTTACAGTATTATTATTTTTAAAACAATAAATCTTAAATTATTTTTAATTCAAGAAAAATGAAATAATGAATATGTTTAGAATTAATATTTTCTTTCGTAATAGATTTATTCCTTTTTATAAATTTTTGATTGATTGAAAGATTTCCCATAGGTAATTTTTGAACATATGCTAAATCGCGATGCATCACTTTAACGCGATGTCTAACTGACGATATATCACAATTTAAAATTTCTGACATCACCCAGTCCTAGTCATAGTATTTTTCAATTAAGCTATAATTTTAGTTATTTGGCTACTATTTTTGATAGATTTTTGTTCCTGTTCAGGCAACTATTTTCATTGTTTTAGGCAACTATTTTCATGCTTGAGGCTACTAAAAGCAACTATTTTGGTTCATTTTTTACTGTGGCAATCCTGATATAGGAATATTTTAAATTATTTAGAAATCCTTCCATTCCTAAGAAACCACTTAACTTAATTTTTGGGTTTTCGACTACTAATGTTCAACTTCATAACCTTGTAATTTTGAACCCAATTCAGAAGACAAGGGAGGATGAAGTAATTGGGAGAAACTTGCCTTTGTGGAGGACTTTCAATGCAACTAACCCGTATTTACGTTACATGGAGAGGAAGACCACGAGAACCTCCCACGGTTAGCTTGACGACAAAGGGACTGTAACCCATGATCCGTCTACATCTGAGATTATGTCACTTCAGCACTGTAGTTGGTGCAAGCCATCGTTGGGATTCGAGCCCGGTTCACCTCATTGGAAAGCGAACGCTCTATCCCCTGAGCCATTGCGGCTCTAGCCAAAAGATTGGAATGAAAAATTTGTAACATAAAATTTTTAAATTGTCTATCTTAGACCCACTTGAAAAAACCCATATTTAGAATTAAGTGGGTTTTTTCATACTTTATCATTTCCAATCAATTTTTTTTCGCAGTTATCAAACCAAATTGTTCTTTCAAATTATCAGCTTATTGTTTTATAAATTTAACTTTGTAACTTTTTTTTATAAAAATTTATATGAAGTAAAGCATATTTCTGTATTCTGATTTTTCTAGCTTAAATTTTATTTAAATTAACTAAGTACGTTAAAAAAAAATTTATTACATGATTAAAAAAAAAAAAAATTGCTGAATCGTAATACATTACTTATTTGTAAAACAAATTATGTGTAATATGCATTACACTTATTGATCATATATTTGGACTCTAAGCCCTTCAGGGTTTGTTAAAATTCATCAACGGATGTGTATCACGTGTATCCACAAAGTGATTATATTATTTTTAGACGAAGAATATAGATATGTATTTTTCAGTTAAAAAAAGAAAATTGTCTGTAATGAGTATTTTACAAGATAATTCCGAAATAGCCAAAATTTATTTTGAGATTTCTATTATAGACTATACCTGTTTCCATTTACTGTACCTCCCCCCCCCCCGAAAAAANCCCCCCGAAAAAAAAACTTTTTTTTTTCGACAGAATTTAAAATATTGTACCCATGATTCAGCAACAAAAAAAATCATAATTTAGGATATCAATTGAAAACCAAAACATCTTTTCTAATTATAACTATCTTCTGACAGTAGACTATAATCTTCTGACAGTTGAACTAGAAGGAATACTATTAATTTTTTATTAGTTCAGTTCTAACAGAAAAGCAAAAAAACCTTCTGTTATGTTTAAATATTTCAATAAAAAGAAATAAAGATAGACTTTCTTGAAATTTTAATTTTTTAGTTCAATGAAATCAACATGATACTTGATAAAGTTTACATTTTACATAGTTTAAAGAGTACTAAAAATTTATTTTATTCAATATTTGGGAATCCTATTTTTGTATGCAAATATTTTATTTAGTAAAACTTTTGCTAATGACAAAAGAAAGATTGAATTGCATCGTTAAAAAATAATGAAATTATCTATTAATGGAATATGAATGAATATTGTTTGTTCGTGTTTATTCGTACATAATTATTAATTGAATTTAATAAGTATATATATATATGTTCATTAAAATCTTAAATTATAAACACAGAATGCTTAGGAAACAAATGTTTTTAAATTTATTGTTTCTTTATTCATTTTAAAAGCAAAAAATGTTATAAAGGTAAGAGTTGATAATTTAAGACATAATAAAGAATTCAGACATTGAAAAACACAAGTAAACATAATATGCGCTACGAAAAAATATGTGCATTTTATTTCGGAAATGTATACAATGTTTCTAGAAATTCCATTTGTTAACTTGAAAGCAATTATGTGTTTAAATACACAAGTGGGCGACCTTTGTGCTAAAATACAAACTAAGGCAAACAACGTTAAAGAGCACAAAAAAAAAAAAAATATATTTCGTTTTTTTGTGCTCTTTAACGTTGTTTGCCTTAGTTTGAATTATGTGTTTATTTATAATTTAAATCTAATCACATAACATATTCTTTACATTTTACATAGAATCATTTCACTAACTTTATCATTATTCAATTAATTATAAATTTAGAAGGCAAAAAAATGGCTGAAATAGTTAACATTATGGTATGTAATTAGACTGGGAAGAGATAGGTTAATTTAAGTTTAAAGAATTATTAGTCAATTGCTTATCAATGTTGATAATTTCAGAAATTTTCTGACAGTTTTCTTATCGCTATTAGGCAATAACTTGCTTTTGTTCTGTTCAGAAATACGAATACCTTTTTTTTTTTAATGTAGTTATTGTTTTAAGGTTTTTCAGTCATTATTACTAGGAATCGGTTTTCCGTTTATAAAAAAAGAAAATTCGGAAAGAGTGGTTCATTTCTTTCTTTTCAAATTTTAATGATGTATTAATCAGTTAGTTAACCATTGAATAATTTCAACAATCTTCTGTGAAGTTTCATTTGGAAATAACTTGGTTTTTATTGTATTCAGAAACTACATTCAAATGAAAATGTAGCTTTTTTCAACTATTCTCTGTTGAAATGATTAGCCAAATGTTGTTTTTACAACATAAGAGAAAATAAAGAACTCTGACTTTTCATTTTCTTTAATATGTTAACACACTCTATACTTAGTACTATAAACATGTTTCTCGTTACATCACGTGATTCATACATAGCATGAGCCTGATAAACCACTTAATTACCAACATTAGTCTTGCAACTTGTTCAGTACATTACATGGCTTCAAATAAATATCAAAATCTGTATCTTGATATTTTCTTCAAAAAAAAATATCAATTAAATAAAAAAATAATCTTCAAATAAATAAAAAATTACTACTGTGAACTATGCATATGAGAAAATTGATGATCAAGAATGCAAAGGGTAACTCTGCAGAAGAGAAAATTAGTAGTAATGATAAAATATATTTCATTCTGGGTTATTCTACATTAAGTACCGCAATTTTGTGAATTGTCATTATATTGATCAAGTTTTAAATTTCGCGAAATAATCTTGTTTCAATTACAGCAGCTTAAATAAAATAGCTTATCAAAAACTATGTTTACTACCTGTTATATTGAAAAAATCTTCGCTCTAAATTACAAAGTTAAAAATATTAAGATTCTTTTAATATAAAAATGGCTAAATCAGAACGCCAATGTAAAATGTTCCCGGAAACGAATTTTTTTTAATAAAATATTAGTATAAAATAAATTTCGGTTTCAATTGCCTATTTTCGCACAGTGCAAAAGAATTGTAAAAAAAAGAAATATAGATATATAATATATCGTTTGTTGCTTTGGAACTTTGTTGCATCCTCATTTCCAATGTAGATCGGTGCAATTTTTACATTCTTCTTCACCGATCTTCTCTCGGAGTTTCCTTCAACTGTCCCTCTGTTTGGCAACTGTCCTCAAATGTTTGATTTTAAAAGTGATGAATTTTTATATTTGTTTCTATTTATAAAGATTTCGAAGAATATCTTTTTGGATTATTGGTTTGTACTGATACATTATATGTACAATTAACAGAAATTGCATCAACGTAATTGTATTGATTTGTCGTCAAATCGCAACTTCTAAAAATGGGAGAAATTTGACTTATGTTAGAATTCAAATTTTAGCCACTCTCCAAACACTTAGCATCTTTCAAAAGATTCAGATCTTCATGCTCTATATGAAACCAGGGTCACCACACAACACTGAAATTAGGTAAAACTGGGAAATATGGGTTGAGCTTAATATGAGTATTCCCAAAGAATAGTTACACTTTCTTGAAGTAATTTTCAGAACTTGGATATATTGGAGAACTTGGAATTAATAGATAGACATCTTAATAAAAGTTTATTTAACTCATAAATATATTTAAATTTATTAAATTACGGACAAATTTGATCAATTTTTAATTTTAGCAAAAAGTGATTTATTAGAAAGCATTGCACTATCAAAAATATTTGTCTTTAATGTTAAGAAAACAGTATTTCTTCATAAACATATAACTAACTGCCAACAAATGTTTCCTTAAATGAACTACCAATTACTTTTGCTCTTAAAGAAAAACGAAGTATGTCGTCCATTAAACATTTTATTGTTTCCTTTCACGTAATATGTTTTTAGCTCCTTCGCGTAATAAGTTATCCCGATTATCCGCGGAATTGAGTGTCTCACAAAGCGAGAATAAGTAAATTCGCAGGTAATCAGCAAACCGCTTAAAAAAAGTACACGTAATCAATTTTTTTAAATATAAATTTAAATATCTGTTAAAACTTAAGGTGAATACATGTCTTTTAGAAACTCTAATCAGTACCAAAACTAAAGATAAGCAACTGACAACTATTCTGAAATCATGCATATGGCCCATAAATTATTCAAAGCCCTACTTCATTTAGTCAGGAAGAATATGTGTTCTTCAGGAGAATATGTGTTGTGTGAGGACCACCCACATTTTTTAACTATCAATTTTAAAACTGATAAGAGTTCCAAGAATGCCTTACATGTTGACAAAATAAATGACCGTGACTCCCATTCATCATATGAAGGCAAGATGGAGAAAACTAAATTTTTTTTACTTGCTACCATTATAATTGCTTTGAATAATAACAATACGATCCAGGAGAAGAAACTGCATTGATGGGTGCTGAATCTATTCATTGAAATTTGAACTTCATCCTGCATTTGTAGTTCGACAGCTGCAATTCTAGGCTTACATTGTCTTGCTGTTTATGAATGTCTCGCCATTTTCACCCTTTCAGTGTTCCTTATTACTCAGGTACACTTGAAGCTGCAATGTTTTCATGCCGACCCAATATTTGATTAATTGTTAACACTTGGGCTACGAACATGAATGTTTGCTTGTGAGTTGTTCTCAAAATTCTTTAAATAGTTCCATCTCTATGAATTAATTTATTTTTCAATTCTAAATGCTATGTTCTTTATCATTGCCAAAAAAAGTGTGAATGATCCGCCAGCGGATAATCGGGAGTTTACCATATTTTTAAGTACAATAGCAGGTAAAAGTGTCCTGTAATATGTTTTATATAAGTGAAAAAGAACTTGAAAATTAATAAATAAAATCAAATATAATTTATGCCATCGGTTACAAGAGTCGGGGATTTTTTTTCCCCTGAGTGTTTATGGCCACCCTACTTATTGAGAAAGAAAAGTGAGCAAAAGTCATTTTTTATTCAAATATCCGGAAGTTATGAAGTCTTCACATTTTACTTTTCTGTTTTCTTGACATCCAAAAGTATACGCATAGAGTACTGATTAAAGATATTGCAATCACACAAGCTACTGCTATAGGTATTATGATATTCTTTTCTGAAAAAAAAGACAGGAAAAGCAATTTTATTAATTTTGTATTGGACATGACATTTGCTACGTTATTCAAAAATATTTTATTTTGTAAACATCTATTTTTAAAGATCCTAATAAAAGGAAATACATATTTTCTTTAAAGATCTTTATTACATGCATTCAAAGTAAATACGTATTTTCTATAAGCTTACGGGCACTCTCCTCTATATTCTATTTCTTTAAAATATATACGCAAGTGAAATTGTTTGGCCCTGCAAAAAAGCGAGTATATCAAAAGAATTATTATTATTATTTAAGAGTGGCTGGAAAGTAACTTTGATAAGGCCAATATTAGTCCTATGGCCATGGCAGCTCAGGTTATAGAGCGTTTGTCTCCCAGTGATGTATCTCAGGTTCGAACCCCAGCTGGATAATACGAATTCTGCTCCAGGCTCGCACCGACTACAGTGCTGATGCAAAAATATCCTCTGGTAGATGGATTATTAGAATCCCCTTGCTGTCGGGCTAACTGTGGGAGATTTTTGTGATTTTTGTCTCCATGTAACGCAAATGCGGATTAATTTAATTAAAAAGTCCTCCACGAAGGTTAGTTTGTCCTTACGCTTGATCCAGGAGTTCCCATGTCTTCTGGGTTGGGTTCAAAATTACAAGGCTATGGTGTTGAATATAGATAATCGAAAACTCAGAATTTGGTCGGCTGTTCAGCACCGGTTATAAAATAAAATGACATATTAATCCTAAGCCCTAAGACAAATGGGCCACGAGACCGCAGAGGTTAAGACACTGAGCTATCCTTGTGAAGGGCTGGGGTTCTAACCGTAGTGGTGACTTAAAGTTTACCTAAAGATAGTTAGGTACCAGCTTGTCTGGGAAATAAAGATGGCTGGTGCGCAATGCTAACCTCATGCCCAGAAATAGATTATTGGTTTCAAAATTGCAGAGAACTTAGCTTCATGATTCCCTTGGCCGACAATTGGTTGTTTCAGAAGAGAAGTGCTTCTCTTAACGAAAGAGGAACCATAGTAAATAGACGTTGCTTTCACACGCGATTTTGTTATCTAAATGGATTTATTTTGAAAAAGTAAACTATTCCCTCTCGTAATTCGAAATTTAAAAGTAAAATCTAAGTATTATTTCTAAGGGTGTAATTGGAAGCAGCTGAACGGTGCTAAAGCATAAACGGTATTGCTTTTTCTAGGCAACGAAATCAAAAGGTATTATATATTAAGTCTAATTCAGAAACACAACAAAAAGAAAAGAAACAAACATAATTTGAAGACAAATCCCTTGGGGGGTTTATGAAGATTCAGGATTCTCCTCACAAAAATGTAATGCTTACAATCTGGTACTATTCAAAATAATTCCTTTAAATGCTGTGACGATTTGGTAGTTTTATTTCGATTTTTGTAATAGAGGGATATATCACAAATAAAATATTTGTGTGTTCTCTAAGAAAATGAAGATTCCTGTTGTTTTTGAAAAGTGATTCATGAAACGATAATTTTTTGTTAGGTTTGCGTCAGCTGAGATGCATAATCAGTTAATCCATAATGAATAAATTATAATTTTTTTTCTCTAGAATTTCTGCCATTTTCCAGTTTTGATCCCGAAATTCCGTTAAAAAAAACTGTTACGAAAGAATAAAAACTTGCAAAAGTTAACGATTGAACATCTCTCATAAAAATGCATAGGAGGAATAAGGAATATTACTTTTTATACAAGATCCATCAACTGCTTCAAATTCGTCGTTACAAAGGCATATCTGTTCCCTGCATGCTCCCTGACTATAAAAACATTGTTGATCAAAAGTGCAATTACTTCCAGTCAGGTTGAATGCTAAAAGACAAAAAATAAATAAAAATATGATATGGAAAAAAATTTAAGTCGGTCAAAAATCCTAAATGTTATAACACACACACACACAAAATACATTTTAGAAAATAAACTCTTCCGCCATTTTTCTAACAAATAAATAAATTGCTACATAAACTACGACTCAAAATAAGACAGTTTTGATTGTATATTGAGAAACTAGACGTCCAAATTAACATGACCAACGGTATCTCATCCATTGTGGTGGTCCTGAAAGAGTGGATACCACCTCTGGAGAGCGCACTAGGTTTGCTCATCGGCAAGACCGATAATGCAGTTCTTTGGAAATAAAAAAAATAAAAAAATGATTGTATATTGATTTATGATTAATGTAATTATGGTAATTTGTTCCTACTTTTAATATGGAAAAACCACTGCAAAGCCTAGAAATGTCTGAAAAATATTTAATTTTGGAAAATAAGTTAGGGAAGATTTCAATTTTTTCCGTAGAGATTTAAAATTCCTGAGGTAGACATGTAACATTTAATAACAAACAAGTATTTCACTCTCTTGCGTCATTATTTTATACACTCGAATACTTCCTTGTAAAGAAAGAAATCTTTCCTTATTTTGGTGTAATGTAAGAAAAACGCACTTAGTCGAAATTGTTTCTTTAATTTGTAGATTTATATTTTTTTTTTCTTCAAGAAAAAGTATTTTTGTATATGTTAGAAAATGTAATGTATTGAACGCTGGGTCTCAGGAGTGTTCGAGTTATTTGATTTTTCATCCCTATTAGTATTTTTATCTAAGTTAATATAATGACTCAATATATCCAAAAATACTATTATACAATATATGTAACAGTATTTCTGTATATGTTAATAAATGTAATATATTGAATACTTAATAGCTTGATATAATGAGGAATAATATTATATAATATGCAATAATATTAACTTATTATGATAAATAATAGATTTCTGTATATGTTTGGAAATGTAATATATTGGATACTGGTTTTCAGGATGATATAATGTTCGTTATTTTTTGATTTTTNGTTCGTTATGCATCATATCAATATGTCATATGTAACCTTGAAACAAAGAAAAAAGATTATTTTTGTGTGCATAAAAATTACACTAAAAACATTATTCTCTATAATTTTAATAAAACAAATAATATATTTGATACCAGATAAATAAAAAAATTATTGACATTGACATAGGAAAAGCATATTGCAGAATTTCGATAACATGCTAGAAAATTTCATACATTTGAATTCAAAGTGCCCACAATTGTACGGTTAAACAAAAGTACGGTTAAAGTTAATTTGGCGTTGCCAAACAGTGTCACATTATACTAATTAAAAAATATTTTATAGAAATATTGATTTGAACATAAAAAAAAATCAAAATAAGCTTGATAACTACAATGTAAACAAACAGACAGCTTATGGAACGTCAAAAGTGCCACGCCCACTTTTCAGAAAAATAGCTATAAAATCATAAAAAATCATCGTATCGAAAAAATTTGAACAACACGTGATTCAGGCTGACTATCTTTATATATTTAACAAAAAAAAATTTTTATGAAAATTTTATGATTTCAAGGTCCCGTGTCCCCTTAAGCAAAGAAAAATTATAGACAAATGAAAAAAAAAAGGGAAGGGGGGAAATAATAAGTAGTAAAAAAAAAAAAAAAACAGTTTAAATGCACCAATCAGTTTTAATATCGATGCTGTAGAATTAAGTATTTTACGACCCTTCGAAATGGATATGTACCTGAGAAAATCACTTAATAGTGGTAAATTTTAACTATTATGAATTAACTGCGATCAATAGCATCATGCCAAGCTAAATACATTTTATCATTTATTACAATAGTACGAACTACAAACAACGAGCTTTGCTTACTTCAATAACGTATAGCCACTGAAGATTACAACATGCAACATTAAATTTAAAAAAAAATTGAAATTATATTATCTATATTAATTGAAAAACTTAGTGGAAGAACCAGGTAAGTGGCATTTTCAGAACAAAAAAAAGAACGCATGTATCCGCATTATTTTATTACCTATTTATTAGAAGATGAGATTAATAATTCTTCGCTCTAATTTATTTACCACTGCCTAATTTGAGATAAAAAATCATGCAAAGATACTAAAAACTAATACGAATTAGTTATGTTAAGATAAAAGTGAAAGCAAAAACAGTTCTGTTACGTTAAACATACCCATATTGTTATTTTCTCTAATTCATTAATTCCCTTAAAAATGTCATTCACCTAATTCTTTCTTCAATCTCTTTAATTGTGTAGGTATAGAGTATGGTATATCAGTATTCAGTATTGAGCATGGTTGCATTGTGTTTCTCTTCTCAGTTCTGATTTATTGATTCTTTTTTTTATTTTTTTATTAACCCCGTTTGAAGAACGGGTATTCAGGAAGTCTTCAATAAAAAAAGAAGTTATTTGCGCTCTCTGTTATATTTAGTTATATTTTATTTGTTTTACAAGGTTATCTGAATGTTTAATATATAATCGTGGTAACATAAGCAAACCACATCATCAAATTAAAATATTTCTAAGGTTCTTTGAAAGTTTCGTGTTTATATTCGTTACGCTTTCAAAATCTGTTTTAATAAAGCTCAATAATTTAAAATCGAAGGTAATTGAAATTTAAGAAAAAAAAGTTTTGTACTGAAAAACAAAATTAATGGAGAAATGGAACTATTTCGTTATGGGGTACTGTAAAAAATCGCCATACTATTGTTGACACCAATGATGCATAATTTTGGTAACGAGCACAGCATCATGGTATATGGTGCAGTTTTAATAGGTTCCAAATATACACTAATATAGGTACAACTTATTTTAAAGTAAATTTCGTGCCGATTACAGCTGCACCAATATTATACAGTTTTATGATAGATTTATTGTTGAAATAGATATATACAGGAGAGAGTAGCTTGATTGGAGCAAATTTTAAATATCTTGAAACGCCTTGAGCGATAGCATTATGCCAGATGAAGCTGAGTACAGTTAGCCTTTATTTTGATATGATGAACTACTAAAAACGTGCTTAGCTTAATCTAGATTTGTGAAGCAACTGAAAAAGTCAACAAATAATTATAAATAAAAACATTGGAATCATTTTAACTTTATTATTTATGTCACTATTTGTCTGAAAATTTTGTGCCCGATTTTGTAGTGTTGTTCAGTACAGATTTATTGATGCGTTCTTTTTTCTCCCCGTACGAAGGACGGGCATTCAGCTAGTATAATATATAATAGTATTTCGGTATACGTTAGAAAATGTGATATATTTTGTTCTGGATCTCAAGAAATGTTCGAGTTATTTGATTTTTTTCACCCTATTTGTATTTTTACCCGAGTAGTTAATGTATTAACTTTATTATATCAGTTTATATAGATAATATACGTAAAGCAAATTATTTGTTAGGCACTGATTTAAAAGTAAGAAATATGAACATACATTCTAAGCAATAACCTTGAAGTGTGAGGTTCACAAATATTGATTTATCCTGAGGACAATCACATAACCCAAAACTATTGCAGATAGATCCATTGTAAGCAGAGCAGTCATTTATTGTATCACAAGTTACGTTGTTAAATTTATCTAAATAAAAATAAAAATTCATGAATTGATACTAATATTTAAAAACATTATTTGAATGAAGAATCAAATCAACAGAAATTATTTTTCCAGCAAATTTTGTGCAAAAAAAGTTACCTAGGAATAAAGATGTATTGTAACTTGCGTAGCAAATGGTTTCATTTTTTACACTTCTATAAAAGAGCATTTTAATTTAGGTTCCTTAATTGTGTAGTCTGGTTGTTATACTATATATAAATTAAGTAAAATTGAGTTATCCATTAAGAAAGCTCGATTGACATTAGTCATTTTTTTCTATTACTTCAATTGAATATAACTTCTGTACCGAAAATAATTGATTCTTCCTGTTGAAATAAAGAACATAAATTGCGCTCTATCTGCAACGGCTTGTCTTGTCATTTTATATTCGAAGTTATTTTAACTTAAAGTGAAAAATAAAACAAACTCGGATGGACCTTTGAATACCCTGGATACGGGATCCACATTCATATATATATAGTTTATATGCTATCTCCATTTCAAAATATTTTTTATTTTATAACCGACGTTTATAGTCAACCTATTTTTGGCTTTACGACTATCAATATTTACCTCCGTAGCCTTGTAATTTTGAACCCAACCAAGAAGAGAACTCCTGGATCAAATATTAGGAGAAACTCACCTTTCGCGGAGGATTTTCTGGTGGAACTAATCCACAAAGAGGGAGAACCTCCACGGTTAACTCGATGGCTAGAGGATTCTAATCCATGCTTCGCCTACCACTAGAAATATTTTATGTCAGTACTGAACTCCGGAGGTTCTTCTTCTTCTTTTGCTCATGAGCAGGGCATCTGAGGCCATACAGACCCTTTTTTCTATTCATCATGTAGTAGAGGATGCATACGTAGAAACTGGTTAAATTCTGGAGAAGTTCAAATTGGAGTTGTGAGAAAAATGGCTCTTTGCCATCCTGCTACAAAAAATGAACTGTGGATGTGGAAAAACGTGAATGTGGAAGGAAAAGGGATCGAAGATGATCAGCAATTAAGTAGTCCACTCTACTTTAGCTTGCAGTAGACATGTTTGTATGTTGTTTGTAGACTGTTTGTATGATTACTTATTTCAATGAAGCAATTGGCATCTCAGCTTCTAATTTAACCCGAAGGAACCTGTCGGCCGGCAGTAGAGTTTAGCTTCGCGAGACCCCTACTTGCGATAGCTGCTTCAAACAAACGGGTTTAAACGCAAATGGCCGTCATTATATTTGAGCGAACGGATGGACCTAAATGCTACTACCGAGAGCTCGATTCAAAATCACGTCCTTCTGGAGGTTGTATATGAATTCACCTATAGTTTGTCTAAAGTAAGAACTCCCCTATCCACTCGTCTGGACCCGTGACGGTGACTATGGTAACGAGATATAACTATTTAGATTAGGGGTGTGAGGTCACTGTTTAGGACAGATTTTGGCTCGAGTCGGCGGGAGAAATGTAATCTTTTTCTCCGGCCTGTTGTGTTAGCCCTAGAGAGAAGAGAAGCTACTCTACCTGAAATGCACTATTCTTGTTTCCATAACAGCAGACGGCCTCAGACTTTGTGGTGGAGGGAGTTCTTACCGTAGACAAACTATAAGCAAATTCGCCTCGTCTGCACGGCGGAGGACGTTTTCACGCCTCGAACGATACTGAAAACGCAGCCCTTAACTCCGTTTTGGAAAGAGTCTGAATTTAATCAAGAGAAAAAGAAAAAAACTTATTTTTCTCCTTGAATTGTCTAGCTGATGTAGTCATAACGCTGGTAAAACTGCACAGATTTAAATTTTAAATGTTGGTTTAGAGGTTTTATTTATATTTGAAATATAACTTAAAATTTTTTCTATATATTTTAAATATATGTAATTACAAAATTATTAATTTTTAATAATTTTCAAGAATGATTTAAAATATTTTCATAATAAGATTGCAAGATTAAAAAATATGGAAACAGAAGCGCAAATCAAGATAAAAGATTAAATAGTGGGATTTTGTTTTACAGCGCGTTCTTACTGTAGTACTAAAGCGCGTTTTATTTGTTAGCTAACAAAGAGGAGCCCGAGAATGGATGTGCGCAAGGTAATATTATACTGGATAATTTAAAGAAGTTCATAAATAATAAGGTTGATATTTAATTATACAATTTTAATGATATTAAAAAATTTACTTCTATTTAATCCTGAGTTGCCTACTTTGCGCACATTTTTAGCCACGGATTTGCTTGAAATGGATTTGCACATGGCAAAAATATGTAAACTAACAAAGAAGTTTTTAGCAAATTTATTTACAATAACATACAATTAACTGAAGGATTTTATGCATAATTTAATTACTTTAGTTGGGTATCCATTGTTTTTTTTATCAAATTTTGTAAGAGTTTGTCATTTATTTTTTGGATAAATAAACAATACTACCTATTATTTTAATTCTATTCATTTGATTAAATTTGATTAAAAACGGTATTTAAATAGATGTTTTTAGAAACATTAGAAGTCCAAGTAGTTAGTTCATTTTATATTAAAATTGAAACCATTTCTTTTATCGTATAAATCAACAAAGCAGATATTCTCTTCTTTTATAATACCTAAATCCAAAAAATTTAAATTAATATTATCATCATGATTACGAAGAAAGATTAATTCCTCGGGGTAAATATTATTTAATAAAATTGTATAATCTTCAAAATTAAAGATAATTAAATCATCAATAAATCAGAAAACAAATTTGATATTAAGAGTATAATTTCATTTTTCATAATAATGCAAAAATAAGTTAGCTAAGAGAGATGAAAAATTAGATCCCTGCAGTAGTCCATCAATTTGAAGAAAAATATCTTTTCCATTATAAAGATAATTACTAAAAAGACAGAAATTATCTAGAATTTCCCAATAATCAAAATCCCAATTAAGGATATTTTTAGAATCATAGTAATAATTCAAAAGGACATCTTTCAGTTTAGAAAGGGGAATGCTATGGAAAAGATCCTGAAAATCAAATGTCGCAATAGAATTAATTTTATTATGTTTCATAAATTCTAAAATCGGTCGATTATTTGTGATAATCCAAGCTCGAAATTAGTGATAAACCTTCTTTAATAATATTGTGAATAATTTTATTTAAGTAGTTAGAATAGTTAAGTAGTTAGTAGTAAATGGTGCCAGGTTTAGTTAGGTAAGTATTAGACCCACATGTGATTATTCTAAATTTTATAGAAATTTTATGAAATTTAGGATTGATAATTAAGTTAGGAATTTGTAAATTGCTGATTTTAATTTTGAACCTCTTATGAAAAGCTGAGAAATTTTTAGTGACAATGTTACCACTTAAATTACTAAGCTTAAATATTTAACTATTTTTTAATTCCGTAGGGGAGAGTGGGATCAATTGTAACAGGGTACGATTGTATCAGAGCAAAAATTTCGAGTGTAGGGTTCCAGATTTGGTTCCCAGGTGGCGCACAAGGTGTATTTAATAAATCTACATGTACACCCCTGCTGGCAACCATTTTTATGTACTTTTGAAAGAGTTACACCACAAAAGATATTTTCACGCTACGTAAGTACTTTTTTTGGTATTATAATATTATATTGTAACAAAGTAATTTTGTTTAAACAAATAAAAATTATTAACCGAATATGTAAGTGGACACCTTAATTAACATTTCAA